TAAAGATTCTGATTTAAAAAGTTGTCAACATTCGTAGAAACATTTCATCTTATAAATGTTTTTCTTTATTGAAGGGATAAATTAGAAACGCAAAAATCCAACAATTAATGCTTCTAGATCAACTACGTTTCATATTATTATAATATTAATACTTAACTTCTTTGTTGAGTTGTTGCAAAGTATGAAATATTGACAGCTTTGACAGGGTAATGTAACTTAATCATTTTTACTCTTTTGATGAACTTTCTTGAATACACAGTATTCTCGCCAAGTTTTCTCGGACTTTAGAAATAATGAATTCAGTTTCAACAAATACTCATAAGGACGGAACCGCGTTCATATTACTTAAATTAATTTTATTCTACATATACATTTGCTAAGGAATTTATAAAACATATTATATTTTAAAATATACCAGGCTGATGATGTATAAAGATATTGATTAATGAAGGTTAAAATGAAATGGTTTCCCATATAACAGGCAGTAATTAATGGAGCCTTAACCATACGCTTTAATTTTAAATCCCCTTATAAGTAGTTTCAACCACATGGTGTAATTGAAAGAGACGTGGATAAAATAATGATTTATTTCCAGTCCAATGGACTATACGTGTACCAAAAAGTTATGGCTTACAAACCTTTAACAATAATCAGTTCAGGGAAATACTCTTTTTGAATTGATAGATGATGATTCACTTTCATCATTTGATGAAAGTGAACGTTTAAATATCTAGTGTAGATATTTCTATCTAAAAACTCTATACCAAATAAATTTCTCTCATTTTCACATTTCAAAATGTTGAGAGATATTATTAGTAATTATTTTGATCTATGACATTTATATGTAAGGAAAAAACCTGTTAGTAAATTATATGAGTGTTTATTTAATAATAATTCTATTTTTGCTATCAATTTTAAAAAATATCAACGAAAAGTAATGTATAATTTTATTTCTCTCCCTTTTACTTCTAATACCATTTAACACTAAAAGGGTCATCGCCCCCAATTTCACGGCAGCATGATTTTGATCGACAATAATTTTCATCTCCAATAATTTTTACAACTTATTTTTGTTAAAGTTTTCACTTTGTAAATACACTAAAAATAAATTTATTATAACTATTAATTTTAATACCATATAACAAATCGACTTCGCAACTGAATGTGTGAACTGAATAAATAAAAAATAACAGTTAATTTAAGAAAACTTCCAGAAATAATCGCACATTGAAGAATTATCACTTGGTCATACAACTATAAAACATTTATACTTAAACACAGGAAAAGACTTTACGGAGCAAACGAGGAACTGCTGAAACTGGCAGATTAAATTACTACAAACGTTTCGTAAGAAAACTTTTTACACGAGTTAGACATGTTCAAAACTAAAGAAAAAGTTTAAAAAAGTAAGTAATTTTATGTCTTTCCTGTATGTTCATTATCACTACCATTATAACATAACCACTTTTCATTAAACAAATAGTTTGATCTTAAAAACAGTTCACTGGCCTATGATCTAGATAAGAGAAGTATATATATAATTGTAATAAAGTATTTAAATTTCATAATTTTATTCTATCCTATCAACATTCACTTATATGTATAATGGTAATTATTGGCCTATCTAGCATAGCCCAATGTCCCCCATTCATAATAGTCATCACACTTAGAGGAAATCTCGTTAATCCATTCATTTTATTTAACATGACACGCCGTAAAACCATTTTTTATATGCCTAGCTTTATTCACACTGGAAAAAACATCAAACAGTTATATTTAGAAGTTTTTTAGAGTAAGGCTTAAATGTCAAATGAATTTTTCTTTTTTTGTAAACTTTTAACGAGTGACAGAAAAATAAATATATATCGGCGTACAAGTAATTTAGGCCTTAAAATAAATAGAGGTTCTTTTACAGCATAAAATATCATGCAACTGATTTCAATTCCATTAATACAAAAATATGACAACATGATTTTTCTTACCTTTCCTTTTTGACTTTAATATATCTATTTTAATCTGATTGAAACTAAGTTTATATGTGCTTGGAGAGGAAGTAATTTCATTTTATATCAATGCTTCATACGGGGTAATCATACGATGCTATCATAATATCAAAAAATATTACATTCTTAAAAGCATTAATAACTTTGTACTGTAAAAAGAGTTGATACTGAATTCAATATAAAAATTTCTACAGACAGTGTACAAATATACTTTCAAACGTACCTACAATATACTGAGACATATATGTTTAAAAGACTTTCGTTTTAAACGGTCACGTACAACTTGAAAATACAAAGATCGGGTCTGCAAATGGTTCTGAATGCGGGCTCTGGCACAGAATAGCGACGGGAACGAATCAATATCGCAAATAAATATTTTAAGCCTAATACAATTTTAGTTTTATTTATATAAACTACACTTCTGGCCTTGTGGGGTCTACTGTTGTTATTGCAAATGCAATATTCGAAAGAACGCGTGGGAGGACTTTGATATTACTAAGACTTTATACACTTCAACAAAAATATCACATGAAGGTTTTTCATATAAATATCTACCTTTCATATATTATTATAATATTATATGAGTTTTATGGTTTTTTTAATTATATAAGTTTTAGAACATTTTCTGATCTAAATAAAATTGTACCGAATAATTTTGTTATTTTTTAATGTTTTAATTTGATAGAAATTATCTTTATTTATATACTTATATAAATATCATATCGTAAAATAGAAATAAAAAATAATGACATGTAAGTTTCAGAAATGTGATACAAATTTTTAGAAACGCCTGACACTTTTTAACACCTTTTTTTGAAAATATTTACAACTTTTTAATACCATCTACTACAAGATAAAATTAAGAAAAAGTTTCTTATACGATCAATAAACTAATCATTACAAGGCTTAAAACTCAGTCGTAAATATTTTTTGAGACTATAATCGGTAAAGAAAGCATTGTAAGAAACGCCTACCTTTAGCTCTAAAAAATTCGATCTAAGTCCTTTCAAGAACTAAATGAGTCTGCCAGTTCTTATAATGTTATTACTTAGTATATTGTTCACTATAATGCTCTTATAATATTTACCCCAGAACTACTTCATATCCTGTAAGACAAACAACAGATCACAAAACATGTATGTACATGTGATTCTTAGTCACATTACTAGTTCCATCATTATGTTATCATTTCATCAAAATTACAGACAGTTTCTAAGACATTATTATTAAATTTAATTAATATTTATATTAACTATTATAATACATCGTCTAACTGAAGCCATGTAACTCATTTATTTGAAGGATGATTAATTTCGATGTATTTCCATAATATACGATTCTTTAAATTTTTAATATTAAAATCTGAATTTTTCTTTGTTTGGCATAAAACGGTTATCGAGTGGTTATTTTGCTATGATACTCCTAGAATTAATTTGTGTAAGGTCAAAGTACTTGTGATAGGTACTTTAAGATCTTTAAAGAAGTTTATATATCTCTATGTATAAAAGAAAGTTGTGTTAGTTACACTATTTATAACTCAAGAACAGCTGTAGGGATATGATTGAAGATTTGCAGAATGATAGGTTAGAACAAGGAGATGGACATAGTATATTTGATTCCGTTTGATCGAAAAAAAAACTTTATAAACTCTAACATCTTGTTAGTTATGTCCTCTATGGCGCAATATATTTCGCCCGGTCAGCTGACATATGTATAATACTAATGTAGAAATTAACGCGGGCAAGTCGCGTGCAATAACTAGTTAAGAATAAATTTCATATTAACTAGCCATCGGTTGCGGCTTCACTCGATATATATTACCATGAAGCCTTAACTTTCAAGCATATTACGTAAATACCAAAGATTTTCCATAGTTTCATGCTTATAAATACATATTAAGTATATTCCTAAACGTATTTTAAATTTCGCTACGAGGAAAACTTTATTACTAAACCATAATATCTATAGATAATGTTATTAAAATATGAAAAAAATTCCTTCCAAAATTTTGCTCTTAAAGGTATTTCAGTTGGAATTATTTATATTATCATCATCAGTCTATCAGAGCCCACTGCTGAGCAAAGGCCTCTTCTCATTATGAGAGGATTTGAGCTTTAATCACCACACTTACTCAAAACGGGTTTGTTATTTCAAACTTATAATTTGATATTATAAGTCCAGGTTTCCTCACGATGTTTTCCTGCATCTGTCAGTGGTGTCTAAATACTCTTATAAAGTACAGATGACTCCAAAAAATCACATTGGGACTTACCAGGTTTCGAACCCGTGCCCTCATGCACGAGAGGCGGGCCTCTAACTATTGGGCCACGACGACTTTATTCATTATTATTTCTATATATGTTATCTTTTTCATTAAAATATATTGTAACAAAGACTTTTACTAAATTCATTGTTTTCTACAAATTCCAATATGAAACCTTTTAGTCATTACAAAATATCCCCAGTAACTAACTCTGTACTTTAACAACTCAGAAGTAGCGTTTGTTATTATTGAAATAACAATAGTAGGAGAAAATTATTAGTTTATATACGAGTATATAGCAATCATGAAAAATTAATAAAGAGACTAAACAACAAATTAAATTTAGATAGACGGTAAAATAAAATCATTAAAAGGAAATAAAAGGAATTGTTCGTATTAATTAATTTTAAATAAAATCCCATCTTTCGATATTAACTAACTCTATTTTTTAACATCATAACACTAAAACTAATTTTCTCTCTATAATATTAATATATCACCCGGATGCTAATCCCTGCAATTTATTTCCTTTCATAATCTTGGCAAAGGATTTGAATAAATATTATTATTTCCACGTCTAAGATGAATGATTGTATACATAAAAGTCTCCGTTACATGGAAGGAATTATAAATTTTACATAAATCTCCTTTACATGGAAGGAATTATATATAAATTTTACATAAATCTCTATTATATGGAAGGAAGGAATTATTTGTGTAATAGTATACCTTACCTCAAAAGGGATAACGATGAAGGTAACTATCAGATCAGCGACAGCAAGATGGGTCATTAGAAGGTTGACCCTTGACTTTCGTCTTCTTGATCTCACGAGGGACACAAACACACACACATTCCCAGCAGCCCCAATAATAAACAACGCGCTATATATACCAACAACAAAACCCTGATCATTATGCACCGTCTCAGTTTTATTCATTCCTTCATAAAAATAATCCTGAACAACCGTTTCGAATGAATTATTCGATGTTACATTCATCTTGAATAACTTCACTACATCTGACTTTTTAAATTATTAGATTGGAATTTAGATTTATTTCCCTTGAGTTTTAATCATATTAAACACTTAAACTTTATGTCTTCATTATTTTACACACTAATTAGGATTCGTTTTAATTAATCAGTCAAATAATTTATTTTAAATATAAATTAAAATGAATGTTATCACTAATTTTTTATAATTTAACACACAGTTTTTTCATCACTTTTAAAACAAAAAGTTTTTATATGTATATGTAAAATCTCGTAGCGGTCTACGAGATACGTTCGTTCGGCGTAGCTGGTGCTACGATTGTGAAGTCTCTACGAGATACGTGTGTTCGGCGTAGCGGCTGCTACGACTGTGAATGGTCGCCACCTCTATAGCTGTGAAAAAATTATATCATTATCCCTTTTAAACTTTACATATAAATGTTATTTATTTTATTAATATTTTTAACATATATCACGACGCTTACAATATATTTTTTAAATACGATTGCTATTTATAACATAGCACTTTTAACCAAAATACATTAAGTTATAAAATGAACAACAAACAAACTCAACCGGATATCCTTTTTGTATATCGTATTTTAAACAAAGCACTTACAAGTAATTTAACAAATTTCAGTTAATAAATTACATTATGACAATTCTGTACATATTACTTCCTTAAGCTTTTATTGTAAAATTGGGTTAATATCTAGAACTTTTTATATAATTCTCATAAATTTGAACATATACCTATTTTAGTACATGTATTGTATATTACAATTAAAATCGGTATAAATTAATTTGATGATTTAATAAAATGATAGCACCTTTTTCTTAATAGAATCGTGATTCAAAAATATTTATTGTAAATATTTATTTAATATTCTTTATTAATTCACTCAGTAAGCGAAAAAATCCCTTTTCCATGATCTATCATACAAATGAAGACTGATAACATTATGCAAATATGAATAAAATGCAAGACAAAATGTTTTAAATTTATTTACGAAATAAAAATTACATAGAGAAATATTAAAAAATTAATGAAAGTAATATTTTTTGGATTATACTACGCGTATTATATTATTTTAAAAGTAGATACTCCCGACGTTTCGGTTACTTTTCAGCAACCGTGATCACAAAGACGAGATGTCAAAAAATAAATTACCATATATATATTTATATATACAGGAAGTCAGTGGTGGCTCAGTGGTTAAAGGGCCCGCCTCTCATCGTCGAGGGCGCGGGTTCGATCCTGGCCCGGGCAAGTACCAATGTGATTTTTCCGAATCATATGTACTTTCTAAGACTATTTAGACATCACTGATTAATGTTGATTCCCAAAAGAGGGTTGATGTCAGGCAGGCGGGCCGGTCGTAAAAACAATTAGCCAAAACTATAATATATATACATATATATATATAAGGCAGACCCTGGCTAAAGCTGGGAAATTCCTAGGTAGAAGAAGAAGAGATTTATATATACAGGGTGACTGGTGAATTACTATCGATACTTGAGGACGTGATATTTGACGATCATATATGACAAAATAAAAATTAATATAACATAAATATTAATAAACGTCTAAGTAAAGTTAACTAAAAGTTGTGTAATTAATTACGCATCGTGTGAACACCCTACAGATTAGGTATACACACACACACACATGCGTGCGGCAACGTGGTGTTGTATCAGCACGCCGCCGCACGCGTCCACATTTGGAACACTTGGAACGTGTCCACACATTATTTATTTATACGGAAATTTGGTCAAAAATTAAGTACCTATTTTTTTTACATAATTCGAATGAGAATCATGTACCGAGTATTCTCCTTAAATATTGATAGTAATTCACCAGTCACCCTGTATATATATATATATATATATATATAGTTAGTTACTTGAAGTCTGGAAACGCTTAAAGCCTTCTACATATTATATGTAGCCTTACTACAGGTTTGAATTATCAAACTACATACTTAGCGTTAAAAGTTTTTCATTAATAAATGCGTCGATTTATTAATGAAAAACTTTTAATTTTTAATGAAAACTGTACTTTTATTTGCACATGCCCTAGAAGGGTTAGGTAAGATCCCACAATTATTTCTGTGCAAAAAGGTCACATTTCAAAAAATTCTATTTTGTGGTTCATTTTTATGTTTTCATTTATAATAATTTATTTACGATGAAGAGAAAATTTAACAATATTTTCACATAATTGTGATCAAATTGATAAATATGTTTAAAAATTTGTGTTAAACAGAAACGTGTTTCATACCAGGCCAATTTTGACATATGATATGCAATACTTCGTTAAATGTTAAAAATATTTTAAATACATTTGTTTCAAGCAAACTTACTCTTTGAACTGATTTGTGTAACTGCATTGAAATAGTGACTTTATTTATGTATCTTTTAAGAGCCATAATTGCATAACTTATGTGGAAAACGAATTTCTGTTTGTAAGTCTCGCTAAAAGGTTGAGTTTAGTGTACATATATTCGTATATTCTAGAAGGAGAATATTAAATCAAAGTTAGGACATGCGTTCTCATATAAAAGTAATATAATTTATATATTTTATTTAAAAATAAAATCACAAAGAGTCCCTCGTATAATTGTCTGCCTTGAAATCAATATTCATTCTCAGCTTGCAGTTTTAATCCTAAATTCCATAGAACCAGATTAATATGGATTTTAATGCAATTTCTTAATATGCTTATTTTTATAATAACAAATTATACTTTGTTATGTATACATACTTCTATTATATTTTTATTTGTGCTGTTCTAGTAAAATTCGTAATTTCTCCACTATTTTTTATTTCATATTTTTAAACAGCTTTTAAAATAGGTACATTATTACACCCATGATACTAGGCACCGTTTTCAAGTTCAACTCGCTAATTATATTTGAAATATATGCTATATTAGTATCTGTTTCGTATCTATATCTTTATATGACATACATACACTTACATATAACCATACTATAGCTATGAACTATCATGTTTCTCTAAGTATTTACGATTAAGATTCTGCATATTTTAATGATCATATTCAATTTCATAAAAAAAAATCTTTCCTTCATCCATTGCTTGATATCTATAGTTCTATAGATACTATTTACTCCTCAATCACTCAATGTATTTCTTCCACTACAATATTTCATCTCCTATAAAGCATATAAACATAATATATATCTGTACTAAAAACCGACCATTAAATAAATGAGAACCCTTTCAATGGCCTAAATTAAATAAAATGTTAGCACTTATGTTATCAAATATTTCGATGTCATATAAGAATAATATTTTAAGGTCCAAAATATTATAAAGAAAATAAAATAAAATGGGTGTATAATAAATAATATTTATATTTTCAAGTTAATAAAATACTTTATGAATATAATGAATGGTTTGGAAATAATGTTATATTAAATTTTATATATATAGTATATATATTTATACATGATATTTAATAATATATTTTAATACGCTTATCAACTCTCTAACTAATAAGTTCTATCTTATTTTCAAATTCCTCGAATTTTAGCTTGTCTTTAAAATATTATATTTTATATTTATTGAATATATAATTAATATAAAATATATTCTTTTTAATGTTTTTTAACAAATCCATTGAGACTTTAAATTCAAACATATGTTTTAAGAAATTGTAAATTAATTAGAAAGCCTTTCGCATTTTTTTTGTAATTATAATGAGGTTTTCAATGCAATTTAATAATTAGTTTTTCACAAAAAAAATCAAATGTAACGATAATCAAATAATATGAAGATAAATTGGTGTCTAACAAATTATTCCATATAATTAATTATGGACAAAAACTTATCATTTAAGTTACCATAAATATAATCTAATGATTTATTCATTGCAATATTCAATTTGTTTCACATAAAACAGTTTTATGTTATATGTATATTAACATATCACCAATGGTTTAAAACTAAAAGTGTATGGTTTAAACCCAATATTTTTTGCTAAATGAAACCTTCGTTATTGAATAATTACGGTCGTTACAAATTACCACTTTTTACTGCCGTCCAAATGATTGATGCGCTTTATTCAATTAAGAAAATCTGAAACATAAATCTATCGCAAGTAATTAACGACATTTACTCAACGATTTCCTTGAGATATTTAAAGTTTTTAAATATCAATTATAAGTAAGCTAAATATTTGTTTATTTACATAAATTCCAATTTTGAATATTCTCTGGTACATAATTTTTACGTAAGATCAATACACCGAACTATCTTCTTCTACCTGGCAATTTTCCCAGCTATAGCCAGGATCTGCCTTACATGTTGTAAATAGTTTTGGCTAATTGTTTTTACGACCAGCCGCCTGCCTGACATCAACCCTCTTTTGGGAATGCATTAACCAGTGGTGTCTAAATACTCTTAGAAAGTACATATGATTCGGAAAAATCACATTCGTATCTGCCCTGGCCAGGATCGAACCCGCGCCCTCATACATGAGAGGCGGGCCTTTTAACCACTAGGCCACCACTGACTTATCAACACACCGAACTACATATATTAGAGAAATATTCCCGATATTGTAAAATTCTTGACATTAAAAAAAATGTTCTTAAATTTGTATATAATACTGAAGTTACGTATATACTTATTTTGTATTTTTATTCCAACAAATTTCTCTAAACAAAAAATATTAATATGAAACAAAATTTGACCTTGAACTTTACAAAAAAAAATATTTACATCAAATAATTCTTGTGAAATAAATATCCTCGATTTCTATTCATATCTATTATTCACAATCATTAATATCTTATCTGCCCATTAAATCAGAATATACAGATAACGTACTGAATAATTTTATCAATAATAAGAAACAATAGCTGATTGGTATTAATCAACAGTGACAAAACAAACGACATATTATTGAGTGAATAAGTGATGTGAGTGAAAAAAAATAATAATTTTACTAACACGTAACATTAAAAGGTAAGAATTTCATCAAAGTTCACATTCTAAGTTAGACATTGTCTCGTATAAAATACTAGTTTTCAAAAAATGTCTTTTAATAACATTAACAAAGCACCTTAAAACTTATTATATTTAATACGTTATTCTAATAATTTACTTTCCATTTCAAGGTGTCGCAGTAGCAATAACATTTCTATGTAGAATTGTTTTTTTATTATAATTACAAAAATGATTCCCCACGCCAAAACTATGGAGGAAGCTTTGGACTCTGAAATAAGATATCAGAACCTTAAAATTATTAACCGTAAGTGTTTACTCATATAAGAGATGATAAATTGAGCGAATGAAGTGTCTTAATTATAAAATAATATCGTTTCTTTCGTACAAAAATTAATTAAGAATATATGAAGAAAAAATACATAATTATAGAATAAGTTTTTTTAAAACTAACGTAATTTTTCAGATATAACATGGTATGACCGAATTCTATTAAATCGACCAATCAAAGTCGTATTTGTTTTTATTTTGGCAGCGGTTGTTAGCCCTTTGTTGTTATACAGATACTCTTTCTTCGTCAGTATGAATCTGCCACCATCTGATGGGTTTTCTATAGGATCATGTTTAATTCCTCGGTCTACAAGACTACCCTGTGGTAATGGATCCAATTTAGAAGAGCACTGTCATAACCAGTGCTGCTTTGATCTCAATCTCCATGTCTGTTATCATCGTCTACCCTCAAGATTTTCCTATATAATGAATCAGCCTTGGAATGAAAATATAACCATGTCACCACGGATAGCCACAGAACCTTTCGCCTTTCAGAACAGTATACCTGTGGTCAGATTGTCTGTAGATGAAATCACATCTACACATATGTCTCTCACGTTTTACAATTCAAGAAATGCATCTTTTAATGGAAGGAGACTTCAAACCAAGGAATACTCGTATACAGTCACGTCACCGGAATTGAACATCGAAGTAAAAACATCAAATAGGACAATTTTTAACACAGCAAGTGGACCTTTCATAGCATCGGAAAATATTTGGGAGATGTCCTTTTTATTGACCAACGAAACGATGTACGGATTGGGCGAAATACCGTTACAAAAGAACAATACGAAAGTCATATACAGTCACAAAGGCGGATTTAGTTCCGTGCCCCTGATATTCGCTAAACTTAATAACTCCTATCACGGTTTACTTTTCGATACTAATGATCCCACAGAAGTTTTCATTTCATTGGAAAATCATGTAGTTGTTCGAAGTATCACGAACTTCGGCTTGAAGTTTCACTTGTTTACTGGACCAGAACCAAAAGATATCATGAAGGACGTTATGGCCATAACTGGGAAATACAATAAGTTGGAATATTGGATGCTGGGCGTACATATTTGCAGGTATATATCATCAAAATTGTTTATGTGTTTATTATTTGTTATAAGGTAGAACACAAAAATCTTCAATGAGAAAATTATGTATATCTTTGTATATAGTTATATTAAAGGATGTTTTTTAACAGTGAAGTTCCAGGTTTGGAGTTAAATACATTTTTAACAAATGCAACAGCTGAAAAAGTGCCATTTGACAGTCATTGTGGTGTCCAACCTATTGTTTTTAATAGTGATCAATGTAACAGCAATGACATAAACAATATCGACGCTATAAATTCTGGTTCTAAATTGCTCGAAAATGCTCAGAAAAAATTCGTACCTCATGTTTCTCCTTACGTATGTATATTCAAACAATCTCACTTTATGTTTTAATAATATACCAATGCTAATCTAAGTAAAATATCTTAAAGACATTATATAGCAAGTTCTTAAGTTTACTTAAAATTATAATAGAGTAAATGTAACAAGTATAAGTGCAACGTGAAATCTTTTGTCTGTGTGTAAAATAAGAAAAAATAACAATTAAAAAATTAAAGAAAGAAATACGTAGGTCTAGTTATGATGAAATTATGGAAAGAAATTCTTCTCTAATAATTACTTTAAACTGATCTGTGAGAATGAGATAGATCCCAGATCGTCATCTTAAACGATTTCAAAGTAAGTAGTCACAAATTTCATCACAATTAATAAACTCTGTACAGGAATAAAAAAAATTAAGCTGACAATTATTTGTTTTGATACAGATACAACATTGAAAGGCTATATAATTCCAGATGTAAAATTATAAGATAGTTTCATATAATACTAATTCAAATGAATACCACCCTGCTTCAGAATAAAAAGTTTTAAATAAAAAATAAATATAAATTAAATAAAATCATCTCTAAAATGTTATGATTATAATGTTTTGAGCCACATTTTAATTTAATAACTTTCTTCGAAATATTTACAAATTTATAGTTACTTGTAAGAAATTTTATAAGGTTTTTGGTAAATATTTTTAGCAACACAAATCCGTCTTAAATGATTCACCTAAAAATTTTATATGATAATCTCACAAAATAAATCTTTGTCATAACTAGTTTAGCAAATATGTTTCTTGGAGACGTATTATTAAACTACCCTTGTCACAATTTTTCGTAATAAAATAATAATGTCTGATTTATATGTTTCAAATATAAGGCAATAAAGTTTTGTTGTCTTCAATTGGTTATAATATTCTTCATCGTTATTATTATATTTAATACTTATACATTTCAGATTCGTATTGAAATAAAAAATGACACAGATATACAAAATACGACCACGTATAGTGACTATAACGTAAGTTGTGAAATTATGCCGCAATTTGATAAATTAATGTATCGATCACCAAATTCTCATGAAGTATACACCGGGAAGATCGATGATTTTGATGTCATATATCCTAACTACAAGGACGCTCCACCAGAATTCTTAGAGAGTTTATGGGCTTATGAGAAAAAAATTGATGGTATTATTCTCGAAAACAATTGGCCATTAGACGAAAAAGAGAAGGATCTGAAAGAAATGTCCTTACACCTGCCTTATTTTAATCAGGTAGTAATAAAAACTGCAAATTAATATTTATACACGCTTTATAACATGTATTATAAATTTCTTTGTATTCCAGTACTTTGAAAATGCGTTCAACTATACGCCACAATGGAACTTAACACTGGCTGACAATAATCAAAGCTACCTCTTCCAACATAACAGATATGGCAACCACTTTGTAGATGCTTTCAAAAAAAGGACAAACGATATTCCTATCTGGTCGAGTAGTGTCTGGTTAAATTCTGAACCTAATATAAACAGACAAAGTATTAATGCTTCCTGGCTTAATCTGAATAAGGAACTGGTAAACGCAGCCCTAGGAGGAGTATCTGGACATTGGCTATGGTCATCACCCATATGTGGGGATACAGAATACTTTAATCCAGAAACCCAAACGAACCTTTGCATTAAATGGTACCTAACAGCAGTGTACCTACCAATGGTGAAAATACATTCGAAAGTGGTCCCAAGATATCCCACTGCTTTCGTGGGCACTCATAAGACTTTGGCTATACAGGCAATAGGTAGAAGATACAGTCTGTTGCCATATTACTACACTGTGCTCCAGGAAGGACCTTTACTTAGACCTATGTTCTATCAATATCCAGCATCACAAGCAGTGCGAGATTTGAGCTCTCAATTTAACGTTGGCGATAGTCTTCTCATAGCTCCAAATTTACTGCCTCTTCAAAGTCATGTTCACATGTGGAAACCTCCGGGCACCTGGTATGAATTGTGGAGCGGACTCAAGTTACAAGGTCAAGAAGGTGACGTACTTACATTGTCTACAACGGACGCTGATCTCATGACTTTTATTAAGGGAGGTTCTGTGATACTAATACAGAAGGTAAAGTATTTAAATTCGTTCAATAGTTCCTGTCAATATCTAATAGAATGAGAAATATATTTTTATTGTTCTGATTTAAATAAGATAATTATATTAAATAGACAATGTACTTTTTTCAGAAAACAGAATTGTCAGCTACTGAAACATTGCTTACTGACTTCAACGCAATAGTCGCTTTGGAATGTATTGAGGAAAATGTTTGCTCGGCGTCAGGGAAACAATTTATTACTGATGGTCTGACATTAGTGTTTGAGGCTAACGCTCAAAATATGACGATATCTGCTATTGGTGACGATTTCATGCCCATGTGCGATTTCAATTCTGGCACATGGGGCTATGACATTCAACTCTATAGTATCTATGGTTTACCAGATGAGATTAATAATCTGGATAACCAGAGACAAGTGAGTCAGTTCACAGATTTGTGCAATTTAGAATACGGCGACGACATTGTTGTAAAATTTGTCACTTAGTCATTTCTTTATGTAAAAAATATTATAATTTTCGGAATTATACACATATCTGTTTAATTGTTTCCTTATTTTTGTATTAAACAATTTTACATCTTGAAATACAGATTCAAATATGCCGTAAATGATTTATTTAAAATGTTATGTACGACTAAGCCCTGTAAAAATATTTTGTTATACAACTTCCTTATGCTCTTGACTTCATCCGCGTTGATATTTAATTTAGATAGCAAATGATCCACTAACACAAATATTTAATCTTTTTAACTGCATTATATTTAATTTTTCCAAATAGAGAAATTTGCTCAAATTTGTTTACCTTTAGTTATCTTATTTTAAAATATTTTCTTCTTCATTTTTGTTAACTACAATTTCCTTATAAGTAACTCTTCAGTAGATAGTAACACATTTAGTGTAACAAATAATCTAGATTAGTCTTTTAGCCTACAAATTAACATCAACAAATAAACATTCATATTTCGAAAAATATTATTAATTAATCATATTTTAAATTATTTAAAATATTGAAAACATTAACTTGAGATGTTTAAGACCATATTTGTTCAAAAACAAGTGATTAACGATAAAAGTTAATACATAACACTATTCTGATTTGTCAAATATGTAAATTACTAACAATATTATGATGTAATATTGTTTGTCTATCTCGTTATACTTTGACTGATAAGAGGCAGCTTCCATTGTTGGGGTGCCGATATGGATAACCCGACCTCACTTGAACTTTGATAAATCTGTTATTAGCAAATAGCTGTTATTTATTAACACAAACCTAAATGTGTTGACATTCAGTGTACAGGCCAGTCAAGCTAATGAAATCGGAGAAATATCAACGTAACAAAGAAGACGAATCTGATTTAAACCAGAAGAAAGAAACCCAGAAAGCTCCTAGAATGCCGAACATTAAAGTTTTTACTGGCAGCTCTCATCCAGACCTTGCCAAAAAAATCGTCGCTAGACTGGGCCTCGACTTAGGCAGAGCTACCACAAAGAAATTTAGCAACAAGGAAACTAATGTTGAAATAGGAGAATCCGTCAGAGGCGAGGATGTGTATATCGTACAGAGTGGTTGCGGTGAAATTAATGATAACCTTATGGAACTCTTGATAATGATAAATGCCTGTAAAATAGCGTCTGCCTCGCGTGTTACAGCCGTAATTCCCTGTTTCCCTTACTCCAGACAGGACAAGAAAGAAAAAAGCCGAGCTCCAATCGCTGCTAAACTTCTTGCAAACTTAATATCAGTCGCTGGAGCCGATCACGTTATAACCATTGACTTACATGCATCACAAATTCAAGGTTTCTTTAACATACCCGTTGACAACTTGTACGCTGAGCCAGCGATTACAAAGTGGATCAAGGACAATATACCAGAATGGAAAACAAGTGTCATGGTATCTCCGGACGCAGGTGGTGTGAAGAGGATGACTGCCATCGCTGACAGACTCGATATTGATTTTGCCATCATCCACAAAGAAAGACAGAGGGCCAACGACGAAGATTCAACCGTTCTAGTAGGAGATGTGAGAAACAGAACAGCTATTATGGTCGATGACTTAGCAGATACCTGTGATACTATAGTTAAGGGTGCCGAAAAGCTACAAGAGGCGGGAGCTAATAAAGTATACGCAATCTTAACTCACGGCGTTCTAGCCGGTAACGCGATTGATAAGATCAATAATTCATGTCTTGAAGCTTTTGTGATAACTAATACGATCCCACAAGATAAAAATATGAAACTCTGTCCCAAACTACAAACCATGGACATATCTGTTATGCTCGCTGAGGCAATAAGAAGAACTCATTACGCTGAATCAGTTTCATATCTATATACCAATGTACCCTATTAATTTGTCTAATTTTTCTTTTAATATGACGTAGATTACGGAAAATAAATAGACATTTATATATTATACATGTCGTTACAGATTTTTTTATTTTTAGCATACTCCATAACCCTTGTTACAACAGATGTATTTACTTCCAATTATCATAATTAATTTCTGGCTATAAGTGTTTGAATCAGTTTCCCGTTTTATAGCAGTGTAACATCCCAAATATTTATTTTTATTTACATTCAATATATAAAATTGAAGAAAGTTGACCTCGGTATTTTATTTCAAAAAGACCAAGAAAAGCGTAATTTCATTTAGAGTAAGAACAGTTAAATTCAATAGCCTCGGGGACACGAGCCTTTTGGGTATCCTTATTACCAAAGTTGTGCAAAATTTAACCGAGTAGTTGAAACGTAAATTCAAATCGTAAACACGCTCACAATTGCTTTGATAATATTATTTCTACTAAATAAGAAAAGCATATTTCGATTCAAACTACCATAATATTTTATTACAAATCACTTAAGTTATACTGCCTAACGATTAAATACAAGTTATTTCACCCAGCTCCGTCTGCTATTTTGTTATTAATCAAGTTATTCATACATTTTTAAAGTTTTTCATAACTTAATTTTGTTAACACAAAGAGCTAAAATTGTATACTATACATTATTTTATGTAATTATATTATTTTCTCTTATCATAGTACGAGTACATATTAAGAAATATTAAATTCACTGTTATTTTGTTCCGTACAAATCTAAATGTAAATTCAATATTCTGTTACCATGACAACCATTGAAACATTATCCTCTTATATTCCGCTCAAAGATTAGCGTATTTACTTAGCGTATTATTAAGAATGCTTCTTAACCATTTTTTCAATAAGATATTTGAATTTATATAAATATTTCTGTGTTATTGTTTGGACATCTCATGTGTAATATTTAGGTAATTTGGTTAGCAACATGAACATTCAATTTAATCTATAAATATATAATTAGCTAATTATATAACACTAGGTAAGACCATCCTTTTTAAGGAAACATTATCCAATATTATTGAATAATATTAGTGGTACTTAATAGTTATAATAAAATGGAAAACCAAATATTTTTTTATGTATATCAGTTCTTTTTTTTTTTTGTAATAAATACAAACATTTAAAATATTTTTTAACAAAACTATTTAGATATTACATTAAGAAATACATTTTTGAAGCGAGCATCAAAAACAGAATTTCCGAACAAACCCGAGTACGTGTGACGTCATGATGTTAATTTCTACGTCTTGCAGTAAACGGATAGTAGCGATATGAGTATCGGAAGATAAAATTTTTAATATAAACAAGATATTATTTAATATAATTCAAATAAAATCCTTAAGAATATTGTTAGGGTTTTGTAATCGTTTTGGACAATTTCGAGTAAACACCTTACACCTCCTAGAAACTATTCCCCAGATAAAACGGCAATACAAAAATGTTCTTAATGTTGCCATTGTGATAAACTTGAAAAATCTGAGCAAATCATAGTGAAGAATATAAACTTTTCTTTATTGTAAATGTAATTTCCATATAATTAAAGAAAATAAAGTTGCTGTAATTATGAAAGTGATCAAAATAAATTGAATAAAATAGGGTATTCTAATATACTTTCCTCTTAGGGAGCGTTCAAGTATTACGTAACGCAATTTTCGAAGATTTTTGACCCCCCCTTCCCCCGTCGTAACGCACAGTAACGTTTTTCTGTAGCCCCCCCCCCCCCCCCTCTCAAAACGTTACGTAACACTCAAGTGATCAATTTCATCAATAGACTTACAATGCAATCTATGTATTCCCCGTAAAATATCAATTAAGAGGTTTGCAAACTTGGAATAACAAATAAAAATATCGACCAGACTAATACAATCTGGTCAACAATGTAATGTATATAAAAAGGGTTGCCAGTTTGGGGGTTTTTATTAATATATTTTTTTAGAAACAATGTTACGTAACGTTTTGTAAGAGACACCCCCTCCCGCCCCAGTAACGCATCGTAACGTTTTACGAGACCCCCCCTCCCCCAAAATTGCGTTACGTAATACTTGAACGCTCCCTTATACTCCAAATCATCAGGATATAATATAGCAGCACTGAATAAAAATAGTTTTATTAATAAATCGTGATAAACCGTGACAAAATGTTCTTGTGCCACAATAGGTACACATATCTATTGTTTGTTAATAAATATTACAACTGAGAGCAATACAAAAAAATATATATAATTACTTTAACTTTACTACTAACTGCTGAGGTTTTAGAGCCACACAGCATGGTGTATTTTATTTTTATTTTCTTTAATAAAAGTAGCTACTAAAACTATAATTTAACCATAAAAAATGTTTTGTATTATCTGTCATGAGTTCGGAAACAATATGTCAGTTAGAACTTAGAAGTAATATTTTGAGCGGTTTAATGACGACTGTAAAGAGTTATTAAGCAAAAAAAAGTAAAAGTATAGATTTTTCTATCGTTATATTTAAAGGTTATTGAATTTATTATCATAATCATATAAATGGAATAAGCTAAGGAATTGATGAAGTAACTTTATGACATTTCTTTATATTGACAAACATTTGACACTACGGATGTAAGTATTGATAAATAGGTACATTTTATTATCACAACATCATACATGACATTTGTGAATTGATAAATCTCTTAAAATTTTAAAAAGAGAATATCTGTTTTTAGTCAAAGGGCACTCAGAGAAAGATTAGGTACTGTACTACCTTACTGAATTTTGATGATAGCACTTGTATTATCAATTTAATATAAAACAATCAAATTCTTATAAGATTCTGTTTTATTTGTTGTTTTGTAAAAAAACAACTTTTATAAGGATTTAATATATCTTCCAATATCTTCGTTTTTACTGTAGAACTAAATCGTTTATATTATTTGCTTACTAAGCTTAAAATGCTTCATACATTGGGGTCAGCTAGAAATTTCTATTAATATACAATGAAATGATTGATTTAAATATTAAACATTTCAAATCATCCACACTTTTTCTAGCTACTTCATTTTATGTTACAGATATGTCTAAAGCCGGCAACTTGCCTATTTTATACAAAACCGATGCAAGTCCACCTGCTAGAGCCGTTATGATGGTGGCTGAAATATTAGGAATACAATATAGACATTGTGAGATAAATCCAGTGCTTAGAGAACAGGACACACCAGAAATGACTGCTGTAAATACAAATTAATTTAACTCTTAATATACTTCTATATATATTTATTAATAGACTAAAAGACAATTTGCTCTGTACACAAACATTTTTCAACCATTACATCTTTTGAGACTTGATTTAAGAGGCTATCTAGTCTAATTTTATTTTACTATATCAAGTTGTTTATCTTATATCTTTAAATAAAATTCTTCTTGTATATATATAATTGTAATCTCGGAATCGCCTCCAACGATTATCATGAAATTTAGTATATAGGTGGTTTCGGTAGTGACAAATCGGTCTAGCTAGGAATCATTTTTAGAAAATGTCATTTTATGAAAAAAAAATAAAAAGGAACCGTTTGAGTAGTCCCAATTTAAAATATGACTCTTCCTGACATCTATTGGCGAATAATAATACTACTTTATGCTAATTGCTGTAACGACACAACAACAGATGGCGTTGTTAAGTGACAGGAAGTCAATGAGTATTTGTTTTGAGGTTAGACTAAGAAATTTGTGTCTTCCTAATGTGTTCAATTAAAAATGGGTAAACGGTCTTGGAAAAAAACGCTTATTAATAATCTAAAATCACGACGCCGCAAACCCTCTCAAGAACACTTAGAAGAGCATCGTCATCAAACTGATCAGGATTCTCAAACATCTCACAATGAAGAGTCATTAAATACAAAAGATAATCAAGATTCTGCTCGTCCCACACGTGCTGCTAAAGTAAGATGCTTGGAAAATTTGACTGACATTACACGAACAGAAAGGTCTTCTGATTTAGAAGTTTTACGAGAGCGTGCGGCCCAACGTATAGCTAATGAAAATAAGGAACAACGAGAGCGACGTTTGCAAGATTTGCGTCAGCGAGCGGCAGAGCGTATAGCTACTGAGAGTAACGAACAACGAGAGCGTCGCTTGCGAGATGCGCGTCAGCGCGCGGCAAAACGTGTAGCTAAAAAAAATGAGGAACTACGAATACACAGATTAGAAGAACAAAGACGTCAATACGGAAGGCGAGATAGGGCTTTAGAACTTAATAATTGTTCGCCGTTTGATAGTGTTTTTATTGTATGTGAATTTGTTGGAGGTGAATATTTCAATTGAGAAGCCACTTATGTAATGTTATTGATTAAACTACTAGCTTTTGCTGGCGACGTTGTCTGCGTTAATTTCAGAATAAGAAATGTATAGCTGAAAAGGGAAACTATTTCTATTAGAGGCAATAATTAAAGATGTTGGTTTTTATTAGAAAATATTTTTCTGGTCGAACGAATTTAAAAGTATTCTATGTCCGTCCGTCTCTTACCTTTAAATGAGCTATTCTTGTAAATATGTATATATAATTGTAATCTCGGAATCGATTCCAACGAATTTCATAAAATTTTGTATATAGGGGGTTTCGGGGGCGATAAATCGATCTAGCTAGGAATAATTTTTAGTAAATGTCATTTTATGAAAAAAAGTAACAAAAAGGAGGAGTTTGAGAACATTTATTGGCGAATAATAATAATAATAATAATTTTACTAATTGCTTTAATGACACAACAGCAGAATTCGTTGTTAAGTAACAGGAAGTCAATGAGTGATTATTTTGAGGTTAGACTAAGAAATTAATTGTTGATTATATATTGTTTTATTAATTGTTCTTAACGTGTTTATTTAAAAATGCCTAAACGAAATAAAAAAAATAAAACACAAAATATTCACTAATAATTCCTAAATACCGAGCAAAGCTCGGTGTCGAGGTATTGTATTTAAAACTTGCAAGAAATGCCTCCTACGTCTGCACAAGTTGCTGTAGTTATCAATCTAGTTTTAATATTTATTTGTTCATAGTATGTATTAGTTTTTATTATTTATATTTTTTTAAATATATTCATAGTATTAATTATTAGTATATGTTTTTATTTTATATTTTAGAAAAATCCCTTAAGAACCATTCCATATATAGAAGATGATGGTTTTTGTTGAGGGGATAGGTGAGTAAAGAAATATAAATATATATATAATTATAATTTTTAACTAATATAAATATTTATCAATATGACTATGGACATTCATTTTTGTATATATATTATCATCAAGAATGTCTAACTTTTTAGTGTTTTTTTTTTAAGATTAGCTGACAATGATAAGCCTAATTTTATTTTATCGGTTTTAAACTAATTCATATATGGTAATTTTTTAGTCATGCTATAATACTTTACCTTTTCGACAAGTATGCAAAGCCAGAACATAATTACTTATATCCAAGCAATGTAAAAATAAGAACCAAAATCAACCAAATACTATTTTTCGACTGTGGGGTCTTGTTTGCTCGACTCAGATCTGTGATGGTATGTAGATATTTTTCTTAATTTAGAAACTAGTTTTAACATAATGAATACTTCGAATTTGTTAAACATCAATTAAGTATCTCTGATTTCCTTCCATGGAGTTTGTTGTCGCCCTTGAAAATAATAACATTAACTTCATTGATTTCTCTATCTTGATAATTTTTAATTAACATAGATGTCACAGTGTATAAAATATACACAGTGTATTGCAAGAAACAGAAAAAAATACAACAAAATTACAGTGGACTCTCCCTAATAATACCCCCTATACTCCGACTTGGTCTATTTATTGTATATTATTGAATTATTTTGACAATTTTGCTAGTATTAAACAAGTTCCAACTATGTAGTACGCACCATGTCTACGGTGCTCGACGCATAGGATTTTTATTTTTTAATTAGAATATTTTTTTGATGCTGTTTGCTTGGTTTGAAATTGACTACATGCGACGTTAATTTTTTGTTCTTTAATTTACTAGATTTAACTTACATAATGGAGTAATATTTGTATTTCAGAGTACATATATTATAATTTTTATATAAATAATCTTATAATGGATTTGTAGTTTGTCAGATAACAAGGTAATTTTTTTGTAAAAAAAAAAAATGGAATTAGGGGGTGTTAGGCAAGTAGATATTTCGACGATGCACTTCAAAATGTTGTTCATTCCACTGTAGATAAAAATTCTACTAATAAATCTGTATTTCAGGCCCCAACTTACACGGGACGATTGAGCGAATTGTCCCAATCAATGAAACGTAATATAGAGGATGCTTACAGAATAATGGAAGCGTATCTATCGAACACGCTGTATATAGCAGATAATAATGTTACTTTAGCCGATTTCAGTGTATTTTCTACAACGTCATCACTTCATGGTCTACATCCAATAGATAGTAACAAGTTAGTTAATACTTATAATATAGTAAATTTAAATTTTAGTTCACAAAATCAACATGCATAAATTCAATATTTCTTCTAATAGTACTAAATGGTTTCTGATTTCAGTGTTATAGAATTTTTATAAGAGAATTCATACTTTTATAGCCAATTCTATTCAAGTAACTTTTGTTTCATATCTTTATTATCCAGATATCCAAAACTCCTGAGTTGGTACAATAGAATGTCAAGTCTACCGGTGTGTAAAATAATAAATGAGCCAGGGGCTGAATTACATGTGACTGGATTGAAGAAATTAATGGAGCACAAAAAATTATCTAAGTTGTAAAAACATTGGAAAATATAAGAATTTAGTTTTTTGTATAGGGTATATGGTATACATATATTTTGTAATGAACATTATATTGAAATTTGTGTATTATACTATTTTAAGAAAACAGTTATTTTCGTCTATTTTTTATGTTTTCTAACTACCGTCTTTATCTTTGAACATGCCAATACAATAAAATTTGTTATGGAATATGGTTGAAACACAAAAACAACAGGATCGTTACGAATCACAGGTTTTCATATTTTATTTTCAATAACTAAAAAGAAATGCAAAGATATTATTATTTAACTTTACACTCCAGTAACGTCTAGGCTACCAATGGATAACTTGTGAAATTAATGATTACAAAAAACGTTACACATTTCCTATAAGTCTTATAAAGGTCTCTCGCGATTGCCGGTCGGAACATAATAGCACTTATATATCGAAGTACACAACTAAACGAGATAGTTCATCACGCATAGACTTTGGAACAAACGTCCAAGTCAAGTCACTTTGATTGAAATATGTTGCACGGTTGTCCAAAGACGACTGCATTAGCCATCCTCCTTCGGTGGAGTGAACCACCCTGAAAAATTAATTAAAATATATAAATACATAACATAATAATATTAATAATAATTAGAAAGATCATTGTACTGTGTGAGATTATGAATATTGCAAATTTTATTATGAATTATGAATACAAAATTAAACGATAATTGTTAAGTGTTTACACATTCAAATTTATATTGGTTTTGTTTATACTTTATTGGTTTTTCGATAACAATATTTGTTACAACTGTATATTAATCCTACTAATATTATAATTGCGAAATTTTGTGAGTGTGTGTGTGTATGTTTGTTACTTCTTCACGCTCAAACGGCTGAACCGATTTTGATAAAATTTTGTATACAGGAAGCTGACGTCCAGGAATAACACATAGGCTACTTTACATGCCGGAAATCTCGGAAATCCGCGGGTAACACCGGGGAGCACAGCTAGTTATAAATATATATGTATAATAAAAAGGTTATATTTTACCATTTTTCTCATGTATCTGCACTAGGCACTTGAAGCTTTGCTGAGCTCGAGCTAGACTATACTGAGTCTGCGACACCACCTTTGAAGCCCCGAATTGTATGCGGGCCTTCCCTTTCACGAGCGTAGCTGCTATTTGCATGATGACAGCCTCTACTGTGTAAGCTGATGACCAGCCTTGCTTTGTTAGCAGTTCCATACATATCGCACCCCCCACTAATACATAACCACCTGGGAATATAAAATAATGATGAGATCTAAGTATTCATTTGAAAGAAACTAATATTTTTTGGTTACTATGTATATGTGAATTCACATCTCGTCTGCCGGTATGTACTTTTTACAATAATAAAATAATCGTAGTATAATCCGAAAAATATTAGTTTTGTTTAGATAAGAAAATAAATTAAATTTGACAATATAAATTATATTGTGTATGATTAATAAAATTACTCAGATTTATAAAGTTGGTTGATACAGACGAAAAAAAATGAGGAAAAACTTAACCAATACATGATTAAACATTTTGAAATATCGAGAACTAAATGATTTCGTCCTTGATCCTTTATACGTGTATAAAATATAGAAAATTGTCAATAGCTCCTTTAAGTTTTGTAAGAAATGATTACACCAATTTCATACAAAAAACTTTTTAAGCAATAAAATTTAACATACTGCATATTGGAATTAGTACTTGCTTATACCAAATAACTTTTTAAAAGTATTTCTTGAATGAACATTGTCTTTTATTTAAATAAACTACAAATAAAATTATATTGGTTACATTAATAATGTTAATTTACCTGATATAACAGGGTACACAACCCTTACGAACGGCGGTTCGAAGGGGTATGTTTCTTTGAACATTATATTAAGGAGTATGGAGTCTTTCCCCTCCTTTTCCTTGAGGAGTAGCAGGTCATTGTGCAGCGGACTATCAGGATCCACGGAGCGCAGCGTTATGTTCCATTCATACAGCGAATCATTCACTAATTCTAATAGAAAAAAACTTTAATATATTTAATATGTTACAATTATTATGGTAAAATATGTTATTTTAAACAAAACTGAGAAATGACCAGATATTATATTAAATCAGAAATAACTTTGTTGTATAGTTATTTGCTGCATTAAATTTTTAGGTAGCAAAAAGTTTCATATTATATTATAATCTAGGGATATCAGCTAAACGCCGTTTTGTAATGTTGAGTATTATGCTAAGGGCTTGCAAAAAACAGGGACTCGTTAAAACAAAGAAAAAAAGAAATAGACAAGAATGACCTTCTGTATTAAGCAAGTAATAGAAAAGTTTGCAGTTATTGTCCATCCTTGCAAGGTGGCATATTTTGCAATCCTTTACAAAATAAGTTGGAATAATATCACTCAAGATACAATTGATGAATTAATTGCTAGTAAATAATAATAAAAAAAACGAGGGAGGTTTTTAAGAATTTTAAGATATGAAAGGCATTATTAACATAAATGGTTGATATTTCTTATTAAGGGTTTTTTTTTTGTTTTTTTTTTATATTACTATATGTAGAGTAGAGTTCAAAGTACGTTCTAAGAATGAATAGATTGATTTAATAAATTATTGACAAGAATTGATGATTGTTTTTAGTTCTGGAGAGGCCCAAGTCTTTTAGTAGGTTGTAGAGAGATTTAACTTCTTCTCACTTCTACCGTATATAAATTTACTACGAATCTTAGTGAGTTTGTTAGTGATATCATAATATTTGTTAACCTTGACGACAATGTCTTTGGGGATGTTGGTTTCCAAAAAACCGTCAGCTCTATCAACACAACACGCTTCAAAAATCGCGAATACAGAAATATATCTGGTCTAGACGCCGACACATAAATATCTGCTAGAAGTTTGTATTGTATCTCATATATATTCATCATTGTAGTCTAATCCGGAACCACTTTAATTTAATTTTATAGCCTATGTGCCTTCTCTCTCAAAACCTATTGATCACGTCTATACAGTTATTTCTTTGAATTTAATATGTATCCTATAGGATTTTATATAATTTCTCATACATATCCATCACTATAGTAGAGTCGGAGGCACTTTAAAGACAGATTAAGGCTTGACGTTTATAGCCGTAGCCTAGTGCTAACACAAAACCTATTACTCACTTCTATACAGGGTGTATGAAAAACTGTGTCAACCCTCTTAACTACGTTATCAGTATCGATAATGTAACACAATAAAACAACTTGCATTTACAAACTCTTCAATAAAAATAATAAAATTAAATATTAAATGATTATTATATGTAGAGTAACAAAATGTTTGTAAACCCTGGTATAACACGATGACACGCTATGACGTCATCACACCTGCTGCGCTACTACTGACGACCTTGAAGTTACTTTCACATTATTGAAAATATCGATATTTAAAAAATCATAACAATAAATAAATATTTAATATTCATATTATTCCGATACTTATTTTGATATATCAAACATTAATATTATGTTTGATTGTAAAACACCATTTTTAACAGAAATAGATTAACGATTTATCCTAATAATACAACATATGTAGTTAATTTACCTGAACAAGTTTCAAAGTATAATATTTATTATTAATAAAAGTTATTTTAAATGAAATTATTTTAATGTGAAAAGCATAACTATTTATAGCAATATTGAAAATGTCGATAGAATATTTATCGATATAATTAATTTTTACACTTTCTAATCTCTATTCGAACAACTAACAGAATAGTAATAATAACGTCGGCGGCCCGGCGTCTGCGGTCAATGGCCACGCATGCGCCGTCGCGACTATACGGTGTCTTGACCTTGTATGAGTCAGATGTTTGGAACATTTTTTCGAATAATGTCGATTTAAAACTTATTTAGCCTATGCACTGTAACCGACCTCTGCTTGATATTTTTTAAGTTATACTATTTTTTATAATAAGCTTATACTTATATGTATACATGCCTTCAAGGGTTGACACAGTTTGTCATACACCCTGTATAGTTATTCCTTTGAATTTAATATGTATCCTATAGGATTTTATATAATTTCTCATAAATATCCATCACTATAGTCCAATCGGAGCCAAGGCTTGACGTTTTTTATAGCCCTAGCCTAGTGCCTTCTCTCACAAAACCTACTAGTACCTTGTTTGTTGTTATGTCTTTTAATTTAATATGATTTACTATCAACTGACCTATAGAGTACATGTTATTCTTGAAGGAATGTGAGCGGTATATATCTCTCAGCTCCTTCATCAGTCTGTCAGTTGCCTGTAGACTGCCTGAAACGCTGCCTGACAAGTAATCCTGGCGCTGATTCTGTCTCAACCGTTCTAGTGTCGCTAGATGCTCTGTTTCCATATCGTCCTGCAAAATAACATGTATACAATTATATATTATGTCTAACATTAATGAATAGAAAATTTTTTTGATCATGTCTTATATTGCAATCATATTTTTAAAGGAATTATTATGTATTTTTTTATTAGCCCATGAGATAAGCAAACAATTATATTACAAAACAAAAGCTTGAACACAATATACTTTTCTTTCTAAGGCCAAAAGCAAAGTGCAGACAGTTTAAATTGTGGTTAAAGGAGCTTTGACAGTGGAGGTGAGCGTATAACGCGCGTTAGATAGGTACCCCTTAAACCTACACCTGGGTCGCAAGTCCCAGGCACTGTTGAAGCTCCTCTCCCTGTAACGATGGACCTGACACCCGCACGGTGAATCCTTTGAATGCTGAGAGGTTTCATCTCTCTTTACACTAATACCCCTTTCTTTATACTAACACCCCTCTCTTTATACTGACACCCCTCTCTTTATACTAATACCCCTCTCTTTATACTAACACCCCTCTCTTTATACTAACACCCCTCTCTTTATACTAACACCCCTCTCTTTATACTAACACCCCTCTCTTTATACTAACACCCCTCTCTTTATACTAATACCCCTCTTTATACTAGCACCCCTCTATTTATACCAATACCCACCTTGTTGCTCCTGCCAGCATCATCAACCATCTCCAGCGGCAGGTCATCTTCACCTTCTGACTCATCTTCTTCAGCAGCCATTTCTTCATCTTCCTCGGTACCGGACTCAGCACCGTTTGATGTCACACTTGGTACTCTGGAAAATAGTGCATACATGATAAATACTTACAAAACTATATAATATAATATGATATATAACAAAAAGACACCAATCAATAGAAAGCTATTGAATTAGATAAGAGTGAAGCTGTTTTGGAGTGTTATTGAATCAGAATTTAGTACATTTAACTTCAAATCAATTAGAAAGAAAACTCATTCAATATATTTATAATACACTAGTTGACCCGGCAAACACAGTTTTGCCATATAACAAAATAGGGGTTGATGATAAAAAAGTAAAAATTTTGGATTACATGAATTTTTTTATGTTACATTATAAAAAAAATAACAAAACATTCCGTCCGAAAAAAAGGGTAAACAACCCTTATGTCTTAGGGGTATGAAAAATAGATGTTGGCCGATTCTCAGACCTACTAAATATGCTCACAAAATTTCATCAAAATCGGTCCAGCGGTTTCGGAGGAGTTCTCTGTCTAACACCGCGTCACGAGAATTTTATATTTAAGATATAACGAGAAACAATCGAATTTATCTGAATATTTATAAAGTCAGTTACTAAAGGAAGTAAATTCTTTATTTCATTTCGTTAATACTACTGACTTTTGAGTTTTAATTATACGAGAAGTTGAATATTTTATACGCCACTAGCTTCCGCCGTCGTCTTTGGCCTTGCGTCTTTTGTTTCCATAATGTAAATTGCAAGAAACAAAATGTATACTTCCCTTCCTCTACAGCGAATAACTTAGATTATTATTACAAAATTATAACTTATAAATTAAACGAAGTTAATTTAAAATTTATTAAATGTATTATTCTACTATAATAAGAGAATGGAAATATTTTAGAAATTACTAAAAAATTCATACAAACAAATATTTAATTTTCATTTTCGTGATAATATTTTATAAGAAATGGGAAAATTAATTACTTCACGTATTACAATTACATAAAATATACTGAACTGATTATGAATCTTTACAGGAATATATTTAACGCATCCTAGTAATGCCATATCCTCGGGATAGTGCAAATTCGTATAACTACCATTGGATAATTCCCCGTATCAACATTGGAAACCAATTATCAGTAGAAAGTTTGAGCCAAAATGTTTTCTATGTTAACAACTTTTAAACTAATTATTTCACAATTAGTAATTATTTAGTGTTTAATTTACTACTAATTGTAAAAAAAAAGCTTAAAAGTCGTTAATATAGAAAATATTTCAACACAAACTTTCGTCTGATAGTCTGCTTCCAATGTATATACGCTGAATTATCCAATGGTAGTTACGTAGATTTGAACTACCCTCTACTATAATACTCTAAAATATGTTATAGCATTTAAATTTTTAGTAGAATTTGGCACATTCTTCTGGGAGAAAAATTAATCGTTATGAATGGAAATTTTGTATGTATTTTTAAGCAACTATAAGTATTCATAAGAAAACATGACATTTCAAAGCGGGTACTCAATTTTTTTTTTCATTTGTAACGCAGTGTAATTTACCCCTTTATCATTTATGGTACAACTTACCTCTGATGAGGTGCCGGATGTACTGGTAATGACAATGAGTCCAAATCTGGTGGTTCGGGGACACCATGTAGTTTGCAGAGCTCCCTCAGTAATATACCCACCTGAATTATTATATCTTTTATAAATATTATCCAATAGTACTAAAAAGTACTTAAATACAACTGATTTGAACATTAAAAACCTTTTAGATAGGCCATCATATAAACTATAGCGATTCAGAAAATTATTGAAGTACATATAATGTAAAAAGTATAAATTTGTTTGTAAGCAAAGACACATAAATATTTGCAATTAATTCCAATTAATATAGAACAAAGTAAAAGTACGTGTTGAACAGCTGCAAAAGGTGCAAATAAAGAAAGAAAAGGTAAAGATAGATATGGTAAAGGTAAAGTAAGGTAAATCATGAATTTACCTGATTTATAACATGATTATCTCTCCCTTGTGTGTTACTGAGAATCTGGACAGCGTTAGTGACAATGGGATCCTCGCTGTCGGCAAACCACACTGGCGGTGTGTTAGGATACGTCTCCTGGTTAAAGAAACATATAGTTATAAGAACAATTAACATTATTAGCTATTTTTACAGTAATATATACATACATAACCTATATAAGATGTTTAACCCGGCGTCATTGTTGCCGGGTATCTAATACCCGACGCATTTTAAAACTGTCATAATTTTAAAACAAAATGCGCGAATCTTTTGTCCGTTACAGTAGCTGCGGTCGTTGACCTCTATTTGCGTATTCTCTTCTCTATTTAGTGTTGCTGCGGCTACCTCGTAATGTAAAGGTGTGTAAAGAGCGCGCGGGTAAGTTATACCCGGCCACAATGGCCTCGTAACATTTATAAAGACAGCGTGTTTGTTGTTTTTTATTGTTTATTGATAAATTGCATATCGTTTTTCACAGTTTTATGAACCATGTCTTACGAAAGTCAACAACGTCGACTCTTAGCCTTGTTTGAACAAGCTGACGCCAGTGAAAATGAACAGTGCAGTTCAGACGACCAGGGTGAAATCGACCATATTTCAGAGCGAAGTCAAGGCAGTGATACGGAACAGGAATGCAGCGATGATGAGCAAGAAGTAATTGTTTCAACAAGTAACCAGCAGTTTTATATTGGTAAAGACAATTCCACCAAATGTTCTTCGCAACCACCTCGAACCAACGTCCGCACAAGGTCAGAAAACATAATTTTACAAAAACCTGGGGTAAAGCCTATTGCGTAAAATGATAAGACTGAAATAGAGTGTTGGAAACGCTTTATAAATAATAATATGCTGGAACAAACCGGCGTGATTTCCTTAGAAAACTCGGTCTATCAATGCTTGAAGGTCATCTTCGCGTGAGAAAAAATATGGAGAACTTACCGAGAGGCTTACGTAAACGTATTCACGAACAAGTCGGTGAAATGACGACCTACCCTCCGAATAAAAGTTCTAAAACATATACGAAATGCAAAGACTATCCTTCTGCCAAAAACAAAAAAACTAGGCATAACTGCAAATAAGTGTAATAAGCCTATTTGTATACAACACATTATCCCATTATGCCAAAGTTGCGTTGATCTCGATAGCGAATAAGTCGGTATATTATTAGTAAATAAGCTTTGTTTTATATAGTTCATAATTTCATGTTTATGTTCTAAAGAAAATTTTATGTTTTGTCTCTAAATGTCTATTATGTTATGTTTTCAAATAAACGTTTTAAGTTATGTTCTAAAAAATTATCCCAGAATAAAAAGATTTAATTTGATGAGTAATATGCTCATTTTATGATAAATAAATGTTTGATTTTTATTAAGAATGTATTTAACCACCTATTTCCCTATTATAGAAGACTAATATTGACATATGCTTGATTCAGTGTACAATAATGTACATGGGTAAAATTTACCCGGCCACAACGGCCAAGTTCTGTTTATTAGCCACAATGACGCCGGGTTAACTATTATGAATATAGAGGCAATGTCTATTAGAACCTATCTAAGTATAAATTCTTAAGCATATTATAGGTAGAAAAGCTAAAATAATATCTGTTTGATCTGGTATTATTAAATTGAACTCATGGCTATGATCAACATATAAAATGAAGACAATTTGAAACTAAATTATTTATTAATAATATAATGAAAGTTCATATTTCATAGTTAAACCTCAGACTTAGATAAATCATTATTGAAAAATATTCAATATTATTTGAAACCTAATATTTCCTTATCATTATCAGTACAACAAAATATTCAACTTTGTATTTTAAAACTAAAAAGTTGTTCAGTAAGAATTGTAACAAAAGAAAGCTGTTATCATTCTTAACCATTTATTATTTTCAAATATTATAAAGTTGAAGAGATAAATATTAATTTTTGTAACACAGAAAAGTAGCCTCAAATGAGAAGAAAATAAAGGCGTTTGTACCTTACAACCTCATAAAAGAGCCTTATCAAATAATGTAAAGAGAAAAAATTGCTTAAAATCAACAATTTTGAAGTTAAACAATCCACCATCAATTGTTATTGCACAAAAGGAAACGGAATGTCAATAGCATTCATTAGTTATTATGACTAAAACACTTAATTCTTGAACCCAATGATCTTTTGACTTTGATATTTAAAAAAAAAAGCCTATACAAAGTCAAAAAACAATAAACATTTCCATAAATTTGTTTCTAAATAATCTGATTCAAAGAAGTGTGATTATCTGTATAGTTCATTGAGAATTATAAGCACATAATTTACTGTGAGGTAAGTCACAGGCATAAATATAGCTAATATGGTTATTATAATTAACAAAGTATTTACAAATTAGATTTTATCAACATATTTCATAATGATTTCATATAACCATTTCAAACAAAGCTTAGTGCCAATGACAGATTAAATGAAGTTTCCGTCTCTATGAATGCAAGCCAATTATATTTTTCATACAACACTTAAGGCTTTGAATAGTGAATGTGGAGATGTCAGGAACACATTTCACTTGACCCACTTGCGGACATACAAAAGTGATGTACCCCAAAACTTATGTTTACATATAATAATCATATTAAATACTTATTTAATGATAACACAAACGAGAACTCCTAATGAGATATTTATATAAATATAAAGTCTAAAGTATTGATTAGTTATAATTTATCAAAATATACTTAATTACTCAGGAATTTCAGAAATTTCATTATATAGAAGCAAAATTTTTGGCAAATATTTACTGTAGAGGACTTGTGGATGATGAAAAACTGAATAAGGAAAACAACTTATATTATTCTAGAAAAAGTTTCTTTGATAATCCACAAACTTGCGAATACACAATGTTAATATTAAATAGAACTCTTTCTATACGGTAGAAGACCATTACTTTAACTGTGTATATATGTTATTTTGACTATGTATATATGTCTAGTGTGTATGTATGCTTTTAAATTAAATATGATCTAAAAACAATTTCTGATAAATTGTACAGTTAGGCAACCTTAATTTAAGAATAACACACTTCAATTTAAATTCTTTCAAGATTTGTGTTTAAAAACTGTGAATTCACTTATGTTTACTAAAAATATATTATTTATACTTTTATTTGCACTTTTGATGAGTTTTTCAATAAATATTTTTTGATTAAAGACTAAATACTAACTATTTATAATAATGAATGTCCTATTTACTTTTATGTTAACTGTAATTATTATGTATATGTTATGGTACACAACACCTTAATAATTTTAATGTCATGTACATTAAAGGAATCACAATTTTATATATCAATAAAAAATTATTAAGAGATAAGATCATTATTTCATACAAGGATTTTATTATTAATCATAGGTAATAAGAGGAAAATTTATTGACTTAAAGTAATAACATGCTATATTAATGCACATATACTTAAAACAAGGATATTGATTAAGAAACTTTTAATTATCATAATAAAGGTGTTTTTGTTTAATTTATTTTTCCAGTTTTTTAGGGTTATTTGTACGGAAAATTTATTTTTATGCCGAAAAACAGTAAGATATAGCAATAAATCTCGACTGCTGTGGAAACTATTCACACTAACAATAGTCGACCGTCACAAAAAGCAGGTAGCCTATGTACCCAGCATGACTAAGAGCCTTTGTCCCAAAAACGAGCATTATTACCGTTACCCAAACAAAACCTTCTTACCCTCAATAGCTGTAACACCATGTACTTGCGCTTAAACAAAATTCTCGAATAATCAATACGATGATTCGTCACGTATACGCAAAATCATTTAAAACATGCCATATTATGATTAATACATGCGCGCATTGATAACACATAACCAACGCACAACAATATAAATAACAGCAATAGTTTCTGTTATGTTAGCTATAACACGCGATTTACTTCACACTAGAAAAATAATCACTTCCGTACACCCTCTGTTGACAGCCCTGCCCTCATAAACACGACCCTTTGTCCTAACTAACGATAATCAATACGTGATATCAAAACTTTCATCAACTCAGTTGAATATTAGATAAACCTGAAACGTTACAGACTTGTGGTACTTACCGTAATATTTGCGTGTATTTCGTATTTCTTTCCATTTTTGCCAACGAATCTGCAGGTCAGTTCGTCGACACTAGCTGACATTATCTGAAACCGTTCATGGTTTTTTGGAAACACTTGTTCTAATGTCTTTATTTCTAACTTAAGGGTATTTAAGCAAGCCATTAGTGTATTCAACACTAATTTTTAAACTAAAAACTATTTGCCACATTAGAATACATAGAAATAATTTTAAGTTCACTCCCGACCAAGCAAAATGGCGGAACGCAATGGCGGATCAGATATGTACTAATTATTGACAGTAGAGGGCGCATGCATATAAAAAGAACGGGAAATCATCTGTCTCACTTTGAGGGTTTTTGATTTTTGATTAAAATAATTGAAATAATATGAACGATACTAAAAAGTGTGTTATTTACCTTTATAATGACAAATCTTTTCAAAACTTTGATGAAAATTTTTTGTCAACATATAACGTGCTACAGTTTTGTTTGGTATTCATTATCGTACTAGATTGATTTCTATCCATAAAACATTTATGGGTAAACTCGACATTTAAAAAGTTTTTAACCTAAATATTGTGTAAGTTTCACATGTGATTTCCAATTTTTACTAATTGTAGATTATGGTAACAAAATCGAAAAAAGTATTTTGACAATACTAAATAATAAGTCACTAATGACATTTGCTACATGATTTTGTAAGTCAAGTTTTTGTTTACAGTATTTCGCGGAATGAATACATAACAATATTTTATCAAGTGTATAAGTTGTATAAATATATATTATAGCTGTATAATTATATTAAATAGCTTTTCATATTGAAAAGTATTTATTATGAGTTAATACTTCAAAAATATTTATTTGACAGTACTATTCTTAATACAATATTTAGTGTTTTAGGTATAATCGAATATATAAACTCATTTTAACATGTGAATAATTATTATTCTAAATAGATTTATTAGAAACACAGCAAACAATTTCAAAAAATGGATTATAAATCCAGAAATTATGGATCCTCAAGTAAAAGGCGACGTTCCTATTCTCCTGAAGTTGACTCCCGGGATAGACACAAAACGAGAAGAACGAGCCCGCCTAAATTAGAAAAAAACGATGATTTTAGCTTTTTGGATCACAAAAGAAATTTAAACAAAATTATCTCCTATAGCAATGATGGTAATCCCATTGTGAAAAATCTAGACGATTTTTGGGTGTTTGTCAAAAAATATGAAGCTACATTGAAAAAAGCGGGAAAACCTATCTTAGAACAACAGACAGATGTAACAGAATATAATGATATTGGTATACCTATAAGCTTTTCTAAGCATCACTGTATTAATTTTATAAGTAAAATGAAATTTATGGATGTGTACGATGAGAGGAACAAGAAAAAGTTAAATAAAGATATTTTTGATATATTTCTCAATATTGTATCTATATATTTAGACTTTAAAAATAAAGAAAAATTTGATAGGTTAAAAAAGTTACGTAAAGCTCAAAGTGAATTACCAGTTGCTAAATACAGGTAAGTAAAAAAATTTAGTTATACTCTCATTTTTAACATCTATAATATATAAAATAATGTGTTTGTTGTCTACATATAGACTGAATTTTGTCAAAATTTTGGGATACCAACATTTTAATCAAAGAGTAAGGGCATATCTAATAGCTAACTACTTTATATTTAGTGTCTATGTATTTTAATATCAACCCCAAATATTACTAATATATAAATTTTCTCATATTCTAGGAATGAAATAGTATCAGCGGTACAAAATGAAAGAGTGGTGATTGTGGCCGGAGACACAGGTTGCGGTAAATCAACACAAGTACCGCAGTACTTACATGAAGCGGGATTTCAAAATATAGGTAAGAATGCATAAAATACTTAATAACATGCATATATTAAAAAAATTAATACCCTGTTTGGTTTTTGTAGCATTTAAAATGCAGCCTGCACACAATAACTATATATTTTTTGATCAAATAAGACCTTTTTTATTTGTCTCATATTGGAATTATTAAGTGTGCAATCACGTCTAAAAGTTATAAAAATTGTAAGAGAGACATCCAAGTATGTGCTCATAAACTTTATAGTTTGATATCATTACTTAGAATTTCATAAGAAAGCCCGATAGATGGCACTATTGAAATTATTATATTTCTATGTATTTCCAGCTTGCACCCAACCCAGAAGAATTGCATGTATTTCACTATCAAAGAGAGTATCATACGAAATGTTGACTCAGTTTGATACAAAAGTTGGATATCAGATCAGATTCGAGAAAAGCAAAACATTGGATACTAAAGTATGTTTCATCACTGAAGGTTTGCTCTTGAGGCAGGTGGGTTAAGATAATTTTAAATTTAATACTGAGAAAGATACAACACTTATTGCAGTATTCTATAAAACTATATTAAATTTGTGATATATGTATTGTGCTAAGTAGCAAAACTAAATGGCAGCAACTAATACAATAATAATCTACCTACATTACACTTGACATCATATTATTATTTTAACAATAACAAGCAAGCATAACTAATATATATAACACTTATATATATGTATAAATTAATATACAAATGTCTGTGCATTCAAATTTTTAAATATGTTTATGTTATATTAAAATAACCAAATCTTCTCATAATATTATAACTTAAAATGTTTGTATCCTTAATATATCTTAATTTCAGATGTCTTCAGATAATCTGCCCGAGTATGATGTTATAATTTTAGATGAGATACATGAGCGTCATCTAATGGGTGATTTTCTGCTCGGTGTACTAAAATGCCTCATACATACAAGAACTGATATAAAACTAGTTCTCATGTCTGCAACTATTAATATTAAGTTGTTCGAAGATTACTTTTCAGCCGAGTCCGCTGTAGTTATACAGGTAATTATCAAAAAGTTTTTATATATTTGTTTGTTCTTGTTTAATATTTATTTTGTTTTTTTTTATTTCAGGTCCCTGGCAGACTGTTTTCAATAGAATTAAACTACAAACCTATACTCATAGAAGAAAAACCTTCCAGGCACGATAAATTAGATCCGCAGCCATATGTACAGATTATGCAGTTGATAGATAGCAAATATCCTAGTTAGTATTATATATTAATCAACTAATGTCAGTCAACTACAATATAAAAATATCTTATAATGGAATGAATATCTAAGAAAAGTATTTGCATGATCAAGGTTCTTTTCTTCCATTTATAAATTGTTTGCTGTTATTTAGTATCTTAGAATATAACGAGATGGCGCTTAAAATAAAAATGTTCAGTATCAAATTATCATGTATAGCGCCATCTAGTTCTCTTCACCAAAATATTTCAACAATTTTCAAATTATTATTTAATATGCTTCTTGTCAATAATAAATTAATTACAGAGGAAGAAAGGGGCGATCTATTGATATTTATGTCTGGTGTACAAGAAATAACTACAATATGTGACGCGGCGCAACAATATGCGGAGAAAACTAAGAATTGGATTGTACTGCCATTGCATAGTGCGTTGTCGCTTATTGAACAAGATAAGGTAACATATTGTATTATAATACATATAATTTTGTTTTAGTCTAAATATATTAAGTATATAAATTAAAGTGATTAAGTTTAAAAAAAATAAATATCATATTTCATAGACCCGATTCCTTCTATTGTATTGCAAGATAGATGTGTCATTATTATTGCTATTTCGGTTTTTAAAGATCATTTCAACGAAACAAATATTTTAAATTAAAAATGTTGCATATTTTGCTATTTTTAAATAAGACATACTTACACAAAGATAGTTTTTCAAACATAAACAAATGCTACAATAAAATTTTCATAAAAAGTATTTATTTTTTTTGTTTTCTATTCAGATTTTTTTAGTATTCATTCATTTTACCAAACTATTGGACAAGTTTTGATAATTGATTGTAGTTTTCAAATTTATAGTTTGCAAATTCTTATGAATTATGTTCGGCTTATATAAATAGTAAATTGTTGTTTCTAATATTAAGTAAAAGATAGTCTACCTTGTACAGGACCATACAACTGAAGAAACTAAATTACAAATGAATATCTAAATTAAAAACTAATATGAGACAATTATTTAATATGATTATGTTATTTTCTTTTAGGTGTTTGACTATCCGCCAGATGGCGTTAGAAAATGTATAGTCTCAACGAACATAGCCGAGACATCCGTCACTATAGATGGCATAAGATTTGTTATTGACTCTGGAAAGGTAATGAAATTATACTTGCTTCATTTTTTTTATATGATTGAGACTTAATAACAATTTCATAAGATTATACATATTTTCTGAAACATTTCCTTACATATAATTGAAGATTTGGTGAACTTTTACTATCTTTTTTAAATGGTTGTGATTTGTTTAAACAATTTTATGTTTATATTTTATGCTGTATATGTATGTGAGAATTTTATATATTTCCAGGTCAAAGAAATGAGTTATGATTCGTCAACAAAAATGCAAAGGTTGAAAGAATTCTGGATATCAAAGGCTAGCGCTGACCAGAGGAAGGGGAGAGCGGGCAGGACTGGTATATGATAGAATTAAATACATGAATTACAAATATATATATATTCTTGTATGTAATAGATGTGCTTTTGAAACTATCTATTTTAATGATTAACAAAGAAATTTAATGTCGATTTTATGAAAAAATATATTGTATTTAATGCAATGAAATGTCGGTTCACTATATATTTCATACAGTAAAATTAAAAACTCCCTGAAAGGAAAAAAAATCCCAAGTATAAACTATAAATAAATACAAAAGTTCCAATATTTGAAACATAAAAAAAAAACATTTAATAAAACAAACTATTATTATTAAAAGCCATGCAGTATATATATTATCAACATATTAATTCAAATTAATGCACCATGTATAGGGCCACAAAAACGCTTGAATCCAAATCAATATTAATTCTAACACCTGCAATTATTTTCCAGGTCCAGGCGTTTGCTACAGAGTTTATTCAGAGCAGCAGTTCAATGAAATGGAGCCGTACAGCACTCCAGAGGTATCCCGTGTGCCGATTACGTCACTGCTGCTATTGATGACGTCACTAGGTGTTAATGACGTCAGACGGTTCCCCTTCATAGATGCACCGAGTGATGCCGCTATTGAGGATGCTCTGTTAGAGTTAAAACAGCACGTGAGTATGATATTCCATACTAATATCTTGTAAGTTCAAACTATATGCGACTAGTTTTTCTGTGTGAATGGAAAATTCTAGTGTGTATTTAGTTTGTTGTGTAAACATGTGGTAAGGATATTAGATTCTAGTCAGGTAGTCAGATAATGTAATGAAATGTGATCTGTTCGTTAAATTATAACTAAAAGTGCTAATTAAAATTAATCAAACACAGTCTGTTCAATATACATTATACAATATGTATCTTACCAATTCAATAAAAAAAATGTTTTATATATATTACTTGTACCATTATCACGAGGACATTTTAGATAATAAATATTCTTCATCATTTATAAATAATACCTTGCATATAAATTAACTTAATATATATATTTCTAGGGAGCATTATCATCCAATGAGAAGTTAACACCACTCGGTCGGTGTATATCTTCATTACCTTTGGAAGTATCACTAGCTAAGTCGCTAGTGATAGGTGCCACTTTACCTCCGCAGTGCCAATATGCTTCACTAGTACTGGCCGGAGCCCTAGGGCTTCGTGGAGTGCTCACGAGGAGAGGAAGAGACCTAGATTGTGAGGTAGTTATCATAACACGGTTCATGAAATATTGGACAGCTAGGAATATTTTGGTTTGATAAGCTTAATAATAATTAGGATGAGTGGATTGTCATCGAATATAATAAATGAGTCGTATAGAATCAAAGGCGGCAATCTACACTTAGCCTGAAATCAGAGAATTGAACATTTTCGGTTTGTGTCGTCCGATTCAAAAATAATATTACGTAACTTTATTTTAAGTGATGTAAGTATTGATGCGCTTAATATTAAACTCTCATTGTGTACTATAAAAATAACAATTTGAAGAAATTTAGAAAAGAATTTTGCAGAATGCCGGATTTGAAACCAAACATCTGAGAATGCCGTATTTGATACCAAATTATGTCGAGATTGCCGTTTATGAAACTGACTAAAAAATTAACTCGTTCAGGGTTGTCAAAAGGATATAAAAAAATGTTATAAACTTGTTTTAAGTATAAGTGTATTTTAAAAAAGGCTGACAATTATAATTTAAAACTGTGTAACTTTTTTTCAGATTTTGTTCAGGAATATTAAAAGAACCGCATGCAAATCCATTCACACATATACACATATAGTGGTCAAATTTATAACACTCATCTTTTGTTAGGGTTAAAAAACATAGAATACACTTTGTCTTAGTCGTGACGTGACAGCCCTATACATTTTACTTGAGTTTCTTCGCCAAGTTTTGTTTCCATTTTTCTGAGTTTCTCTGTCGTTTCCGGGCAAACTTATTTATTACAGGCTTAGAATGTACATCCATGATTCAATTTATACATATATTTTATAACAGTAATCACAATAAATAAAATAATTCAATAAAACACGGACACAAATTCGTTAGAAACTTCATACAGACGTCATTAGATCACGTGACCACACGGACGCTTGTGATTGGTGGAATGAGTTAGAATGCCGGGTTTGATTCTTATGCTGTTGAAGATTGCCGGATTTGATGCTAAACCTGATTTTCAAAAAGGATTTCACTGCGAGATAGTCGTTTTTGTTATAAAGTAAATGAAGTACGTAACGTTATTTTAAATTTCCTGTGTGTGCCTTTGATTCTATACGACTCAAATATTATATAATTTAAAATATATTTAACTTGAATACAATATATAATAAGTATGGTTTGAATTTGAATTCTGCTTATGCTATGAAACTATTAAATTGAGGTGCGAGACTCGGCAGATAATTTATTTCTTTAATTAAATAGTACAGCAAAATAGTTCAAGATGAGAAGTGCGGTTAGAGCTATCTATATCTATATAGCTATATTAATGAATCCCTACTAATATTATAAATGCGAAAGTAACTCTGTCTGTCTGTCTGTCTGTTACGCTTTCACGCCTAAACCATTGAACAGATTTTAATAAAACTTGGTACAGAGATAGAGTTACCTTGAGAAAGAACAGGATAGTTTTTATCACAGACTTTTGAAAGGTTCTCTTGGAAACACGATATAACCGAACTCCACGCGGGCGAAGAGGCGGGCGGAAAGCTACTTATTTATATGAAGATTATATTTCTTTAATTCAGTATTGGAAGTATAGATAGCGCTGTTATTAATTATTTTCATATACATTACATTCCATTAATTCAATACTGCAAGTATAGACGGCGTTAATCATTATAATTCTAATCACATTATCCGCTCTTCACTATAAAGCCGTTCAGTATCACAGTTTGATAATATATTATATAATAAAAAAGGAACAAATAGAAATATATTATATAATGAATACATTTATAAACTAACCTAGTTATAACTTATAAGCAATCTACTAGCACTTTGTAATGTAACATACTTTATTAAATAAAAAGCTTTATTATTATTATTATTATTTCAGAATGCTCGAAAGCCAGATGAATCAGATCATGGTGATCCTATAACACTTCTATGTTTGTATTGCTCGTGGTTGAAAGAAAAATCTTCGGGTTTAAGTCGAGCTTGGTGCAGACGACGTGGTATAGAAGAACAGAGATTATATGAACTAACTAAATTGACCGCACAGCTAAGATCGTTATTACAGGTGATATAAACTTTATTAATAATTATAATACATTATACGAGCTAGGGTCTTGGTTAAGTTAATGTTTAGTGGTATCTTACTTTGATTTCAAGGGTAGTCTTGGTGTAAAACTTAAATGTATTGTCGTTTCTGTAAAAGTAATATATATATAATCAATATATTTTTATTTTGTTTCGTATAAAATTTATCATGCAATGGAATGATAAATATTACAAATGATGAAAATATTGTAAATAAATATGAATATATGTATATATGTTTTTCTCTAAATCCAATGTAATAAAAATGTTTTAGGGATCTTAATAACTATTTACTCATAATACAAATATATTTCAGAAATAAATTATTACATAATTTCAATGAGTTGTCAGAAATTACTTATTGAAAATTTAATATTAATAAGTTTAAAGAATGTGACGAATTTAAAGTTTAATTTTATTACTTAATATTTAATACTATTTCAGGATAACAATCTATTGGATTCTCCGGAGCCGGAGACAATGTCTTCATCAGAGAGAGCGATGAGACATGGACAATTGAAACAACTCAAAGATCTTAGAAGGTACATACATTAATATATATGTGTAGATTAAGGGTTAAATTTTTTTTATACTACCACTTAGTATTTTTTAAGTCAACCCAGAGTTTAATGTAGCAATACTAGAGAAATCTCAATATGGAGACAAAAAGACTTAAGATTTTGTATTTTCAACCAAATTAATAAAATTGAGTAACAAATATAAATGGGTAACAAGTAACAACCCATACCTCCCACATATACAGGGTGACTGGTGAATTACTATCGATATTTGAGGACGTGATATTTGACGATCATATATGACAAAATAAAAATTCATATAACATAAATATTAATAAACTTCTAAGTAAAGTTAACCAAAAGTTGTGTAATTAATTACGCATCGTGTGAACACCCTACAGATTAGGTATACACTGACACTCACACATACGCGTGTCGTGACGTGGTGTTGTATCAGCACGCCGCCGCACGCGTCCACACTTGAACACTTGGAACGTGTCAACACTTTATTTATTTATACGGAAATTTTGTCAAAAATTAAGTACCTATTTTTTTTACATAATTGGAATGAGAATCATGTACTGAGTATTCTCCTTAAATATTGATAGTAATTCACCAGTCACCCTGTATATATTCCTATTATTTATATAATGCATTTTTGTATATCATTAAATAATTTCAAACCTTAACCACATATCATTAAAGTTGATTATCCAATAACCAGACAGTACAAACAGAAGGCTGCTGAGGATTCAAAACGTCGTAAGCGCCTCAAGGTCGACACTTGGGAGATAGCTGATGATAATGATGATGACGTCATCGATGTAAGAGATATTGAGTTCAGGATGACCAATGATGCTGCGAGGATACGGGAATTGATTAACGGAGCCAGTACTAGCAGAGGACAGGATCTTATCATGTTAAAGGTAGATATAATACTAATATAATATAATAATAGATATAATATTTGAAGATATAGTGCGTTTGTGCGCATTCAATAATTTGACATCACACCTACACTATCCGTGTACACTCACACAAATGCAAAGTTCAGCATAAGTCTAACGGACTATACTTGAATTAATGCGATTAGAGTGTACAATAAAAAATCAACTTTATGTTTATGGTGCTTGAGTTAAAGGTACCAAATACTGTTGGTATATATAAGTTTTTCATATATATTTTATTTGAATTAAATAAATCAATAATGAAACCTATATTAAGTATGTCTGAAGAATAAGTGTTCATTAAACAAAACTGATATTGAAGTAATTTAATGCAGACATAATTGGGATCAAAACTCAGTAACGCTATTTTTAAGTTCCTACATCTCAAAATTAATATTTCTATATTGATAACAGTTGAAAAATAATTAAAATATAAAATGCAGAAAAATCTTCAATGTATTTTTAGTAATCAATAACATTATTAATAGCAAATGTAAATATAATAACAAAAATTATTACATTAACATTTCATTTTGAATATATAGCGGTACATTACATTAAGTATTTAATAACGTTTCATTATTATTCAATACATAAAAAAATAATAAAATTTATTAAATATTATCTTGCATAAGAAAAAAAAAACCAAAATAATATTTTGACCCCGACGTGATTTGAACACGCAACCTTCTGATCTGGAGTCAGACGCGCTACCGTTGCGCCACGGAGTCGTTGAGAGAATGAATGAAATTGTTAACAACATTTTATATAATGCAACAGATAATTTAATAACATTTATTAACAAAAGAAAATAAAACTGAATTGGTAAAAATATAGATAAAACATATTTTAAGAATGATATTAAAAATCTGCATTTTTTCAGATCGTGTTATGCAGAGCTTTGTATCCGCAAATAGCAATCGCAGACGAATTCAATTACTGCAAGGTGAGTAAATTAACATAAAGATTATTATAAAAAATATAACATAGAAATATATTAAGTTTAGAAGATTTACATTACAATATAAATATATATAAACCTAATTATTACTCAGACAGAGCAATTATATCACACTTGGAGCAAACCATTCGTGTTTCTACATCCTACATCATATTTCGGGAGATATCCTAAAGTACTGCAACTGACTGAGACAGACATACAGACAGCGCCGGGGTATAAAAGCAAGCTGCCACTATCAAATAAACACCAACTATTGTGTTACTTGTGAGTATATATAATTTTTTTAAAATTAGCAACATTATTGTTATAAATCTAAATCCTACTAATATTATAATTGCGAAAGTTTATGAGTGTGTATGTATGTTTGTTACTTCTTCACGCTCAAACGGCTGAACCGATTTTGATAAAAATATGTATACAGGAAGCCGACGTCCAGGAATAACATATAGGCTACTTTACATCCCGGAAATTCGCGGGTAACACCGTGGGGCGCAGCTAGTAATACTATAATAAAAATTATGAAATTCATTAATATGATTATACAGGGTGACTGGTGAATTACTATCAATATTTAAGGAGCATACTCGGTACATGATTCTCATTCGAATTATGTAAAAAAAATAGGTACTTAATTTTTGACCAAATTTCCGTATAAATAAATAAAGTGTGTACACGTTCCAAGTGTTCCAAGTGTGGACGCGTGCGGCGGCGTGCTGATACAACAACACGCCGCCGCCGCGTCTGTGTGAGTGTGTGTGTATACCTAATCTGTAGGGTGTTCATACGATGCGTAATTAATTACATAACTTTTGGTTAACTTTACTTAGAAGTTTATTAATATTTATGTTATATTAATTTTTATTTTGTCATATATGATCGTCAAATATCACGTCCTCAAATATCAATAGTAATTCACCAGTCACCCTGTATATATATGTTTGTCTATTTCACCAGGTCACTCCTTGAAACTACAAAGCCATACATAGTTAATTCAATGCGTATGCCGGCAGCGCAGACATTGCTTCTTCTAGCACATTCTATAGATACAAACTCTGGATTCACAAGGTTGGCAATTTTAATATTTATACTAAAACTATAACTAAAATTATTATGCAAAATTAATATAATATATAGAACACCAAATATTTATAATATCTTTAGTAAGATGCTCAATGATAAATGAACAGTTACAATATTACTCTCATACATTTCCATATATTTTTATATTTAATATAATATTATTAATTTTATTTATAACAGGATAGTATGTGATTCCTGGCTTCTCCTGGAATTCCCTTTCCCTGAATCTGGATGTCAGTTATTATACAAAGCATCCACAATAAGGAAGAAATGGGACCAACTGATTAATAGAAAACTTGCAGGTAGTTACAAAAATTATTTGTATGTATGTTCATTTATTAATAATACATAAAATACGAAATATATTTATATATAATATATAATGCTTGTACTTAAATAGTATTTGCTACTGATAGTTGTAATTCTTGATAAATAGTATCAAGTTGAAAAGAGCTTGAAATAAAATGATATATGTAAATTATTATAAATTTCTTCACTCATATAATAAACATATTAATACATGAGTAATCAATTGTATAAAGTTATAAGAAATTATAGTATAAAAGTGATGTGTAGTTGAACAATGATCAAAATCATTTAGTAACTATTGATAAATAAGAATTAGGTGTAATATTAAATCTAAAATATTAAAATTTCATTCTATTTATAATCAAATATATTATGTAACTAATAATGTATTCAAATTTCAGATGCAAATCCCAACAAATCAGTGGAAACCGAGCTTCAGAAATCAAATGAAATGGGTTATGAGGAACAACAACATGAATTATCATGTGATATAAGTAAATATATGAACTGTGATGTGTCATATACTATCAAGAGGTTGTTGCCGGGGGACTTGAAAGTATTGTATGATGGTAACATTCATCCAGATATTTCTCCGAATCCATTCAATGAAACATATATCTGTAAACCTCATGATAAGAAGGGTGGTGTGTATGTAACCGATAATATTGTATATAATTGGTGAGTTTTGAATCATTTTAATATATTAATGATGATTATTGGAACTTGAAATTAATTATATGGGTAATAAAATGGAATTGAATTTGTATTTATATGAAAAATGTCTATATTAATGTATTCATGATTTTATATTATAATGAAATATTAAATATTAGGATTCGATAAAATAACTTTATATAATTTTTCAGTGTTGTAGATTCAGAGTGGAGTTACGATAGTTATCAAGAAACCTATAGCATACCGTGGGTTTGTCCGCAATGCGAAATGACTGTCTGTCTGTCACCCTTAGAACGATTACAGCATAGAATATTCACTTGCTCGTCAAAAACTGTGAAACCGATCGAGAAGACGACTAAACGCAACAACAGACCCAATACTAAGGAATTTATTTGTGATGTCTGTAAAACAACTATGTTTCTAACACCAGTTGAAATATTGAAACATAAGAAGGCTTGCGAAATAAAGGAGGAATGAAATTATTGTTTAATTTATATACATATTTTCCTTAACAATTTGTTAAAAGCATTTGAAACTTCATTATATTATATTCTTGAAAACGCCATCTAGCGACAGACTTTTAAACTGCATTACTTCTTGTTTTCGTGATAGTTTTTTTAAATCTTTCGAAAAGATAGTAATAACTAATAATATTGTATAAATGATGTTTGTTGACTATAAAGACATAGAAATATATAAGAACTCTAAGAAATTTAAGAATTGGACAAATTTTCTTAGATTTAAAATAGAAGAAAAGATAGATATATAGACATTTACCATCACAGAAACTATAAAAGCCATAAAGGTAATAAAGCCCCCATAAAAGAAATCTCTCTCTGTAATCTATTTCCGATGTAATTTCGAAGCGTCGAACAACGCTTCTGAACTGAACGAGTCACGAACCGGCACTACTCATACAACATACAAATAATATTTGTTATCTGTGACTTTCAATACTTTATTTTTATAACACTGTCAAAATATATGACATTTACATATAATTAAAATCTGAATTTTTCGATACAGCCATTGGTTAAAGGTGTTTCGTTTATTTTAAAATGAAAGGTTAAAATATTATAACATTGTTATATAGACGAATCGTGAAAAATATAAGTGTCAAAAATAAACCATTTGATTCCTTTAGAGTATGTAATCATTCAACAATTACTTCGTTACATATAAAAGTAAATTCAATCAATAATAACACGAGTCCCACGGGCGGACAGACGAAACGCAATTCAGTTATTAATAGACAGCACAAGAACTAAAAACTAGCTTAGCGTCCGAGCAATTTAGTTGCACTATACTTCATAACTGGTTAAATAAGTTCAAAGGACAATCGTCTTTATTGCAGAATGTTTAAGTGGATAAGTCGCATGTCGCCAATTGTTCTGTTCTCAACTTAATAGGTTCCAATCATTAACGCTGGTCGTGACCCACCCTGGCTGCTGATGGCAGATCGCGATGCCCTTTTTAATTCGTACAGTAACGCACCGCGCTTGTGCGAACACACTGGATGGTTTATTACTATGAAAAACTTCACGATATATAGGTTATATCGCATTATAGACTTATGAAATAGTAGGATCATATTTATAATTCATTACTGATATGAATCGTGAAAGTTAGTTTCGCGGAAATTGTGAGAAGCTTAACGATATTTCGAATTTAGTGTCGATTAATCTGTAGGAGAATTTGAAGCTAAAACATCTATAGTTATTGAGATAATACACGAGTAACTTAGGTGTATTACTAATATATAGTTTTAGTGGTTGTGTTCAAAGGAATGACATAGTGTAGCCTTTCCAGGTCCGAGGAGCCCCGCCCCCACTCAGCCTGACATTAGGACCTACCTTGCTTGTTCTTTTTTTCTTATTAAACTCACGCAACTATGCTTTTATCTTGTTTGAAGCTTTGTATCGACTTATTACTTTTTTTTGCTTTAATTAAATTTTCAATGCAATTTATCGATTAAAACTGCTATAGAAATAGCATATGTAGTAATTAGACGTTAGAATACTCATCTTATAAAATAATCACGTATTTAAATATATAAACAAATTTTATTATTACAGCAAATGTCAAAAGAAAACCACAATAGTTTGAAGTTTATAATGCGTTCAGAAACACGGTTTTTTCAACAAACTATTCCGAAAACTATATTCTATCATATATCTCAGTCAGATACCATAAAACACGGGAATTATATAAAAACTCCTATCATAGCCGGTATATCTAATTAGGTATATGATTTATGACGGCCAAAGTGGAAGCAATTACCGACGGGATTAGGAACACTGACCGATGTTAGATTATAGTGACCACAGATTATTGATAGATTGGATTTTTATTTTAAAAAACCATTTGGTAAACTTTTAATTATTTATATACAAAGGTTTTATACATTTTTAATTATAATTTAATTCCATTATATCTTTACGAAATTAAACATTTTTGAACATATCTATTCTTTATGATATGAATGTTTTTTTTTGTATTGGTACAAATCTAATATATAGAAATCATGGTCTCCCGTTTTTGAGGATCTCATGACGCTACCAAAGTAGTTTTCTTGATGTGGCATATGGATTCGCTACTTTGTGGATCACAATCAAAATTCAAAGCCCGTTATTAGGTAAAACGATCCGAATTTAAAATCCGCTAGGGTAAAAAATGGCGCGTGCCGCCAATAGAAAAATAACAGTTATCTCATATAATTTTGTGAATTACATTAATATTATATAATTATGTTATATTTTTATAATAAAACAATTATATAATTTAATAATGATAGCATACTTATATTTTTTCTAGGTTCCTTGTGTTCAGTGGGAATTAAAACAACGAACAATATAGTAAAATCGTTACAAAATCTAAAGCTTTAACAACAATTAAGTGAGCTCAGTTAAAATCAGTCCACAATACCTGTGTTTTGTCAAAATCGCAGCCGGTAATTTTCATTTCAGACAGCAGTAAAACCTTTTTGGCGGGAGTATCACTTTTTTTTATCTGTGCGTATATACAAAGGCCGATCGGTAATGGCCGCTTCCCACGGCCGGGAGATTAATACGCACGCATGTCATACCGCTTACGATTACCCGCGCTTAAAATTGCAGCGTTTTTGCCCTTTTTGTTATAGTTTTTTTTTTATATTATTTTTCAAAAAACCATCCACCGAGTCTTTTGTGTATCCGTTTAATTATTATGAAAGTTTGTCTTCTTGTTGGGGTTCATTCATTTTATGTTTGTTATAAATACTTAGCTGTCCTTGAATGATAATAATTATATTTCTTTTTAACTAGATTCCATTGGTTTCGTATATGTTGGCTATGTAGGTATAATATGAATAGATAAAATATAATAATTGCTTGTTGATAATTTTCTTAAAATATTTATGTTCTCTAAAACAATGAAATATTTTTTTTAGTTTCCAATTTCTAAGAATATAAAAATATTTTGAGGGTCTCACTGCCTTTAGCCTTTGATTGTATTTATCATCAAAATTCTAAATTTATCAATTTCAATTACTTAGCATAAAGCCTGCCTATAAGAAAATAAATTGCAGTCTTATAAAAAACTATAACAAAAATTATTATATCTTACTACCATATTCAAGTATTATTTAATTTAGATTCCGCTTAATAATCATAAAACCACACAAAATTTAAATTTAGACTATTGGCTAAATAATTTCCACTGTTACATATTAATATAAAACCTCCTTATTAACGAACAGATTGCACATATAGGATTATTAAACAGTAAGAAATTAAAAAAAAAAAACAGCAACCAGTTACGTAAGGTAAGTATTTTCAAATGATTTGAATCAAATCTATAGAATCGTAAATATTGATGCGTGAAATCCGTTTACAAAGACTTAGCGCCACATCTGACGTGACCCTTATTACCTAAGACATAAGGTCCATTACGATCCACGTAGCGGGAGGTCCGATCGTTCGAGGTTGTCATATCTACTATTGTAAAACTTTTATTGTTCAATGAATATTATAAAATATAATTGAATTACAATTGTTATTTCAAAAGTCGATGACATTTAATATTTAGTTTTTGCCTCTTTTCTCTCGATTGTATCGCCGGCGGCAAATTAAAAATTGAAGTTCGAAATTCAAAAACTTTTTGAAAATCGAACCACGGAACAGAAGATTTGAATTTATTAAATTATTATAAATATTGCAATAATTTGAAAACAAATAATAATATAGGAATACAATTGATAAAGTCAAATGTCCGGAGAACAAATAGTGTGAACCAAAAAAAATAAACATAACCAGGTGCAATCTTTATAGCTAATCAGGCACGACATGAGAGTCATGTTGTAAACGATTGTGATTAAAAAAACATACGAAGATCACACTTATTATAATCTGTTTGAAATATTTTAATGATTTTTTTTAAAACTAAAATACATACTTAAGTCACTTTTTTAATATAAGTACAATTTTACATTCAAAAGGCGTCTACTTAGGAAAATAACAATTTTCTTTTAAAAATTATGTGTCTAATTAAATATAAAATTTTATATGAACCAATTAATTATTATCAATAGTCAAATTTTATTTTTTATTTATATTAAAGAATACAATAGCTAATAGTACAATAAAATCTAAGCCGGCAGGGACATGCGGTGTAGCGTGCCGCCGCACTATAAACTGTGTAACTGTCTCCCACTATCTACTAGATGCTATCTGTGCAATACAAAAATATTACCCACACACAATCTAGATTTGTTAACTGTGTTGTGCTTTTAGCGCTCAAATGAATTGGCTGGTTGGAATTTTTTTTTTAATTTAAACTTGTCCGTATAATCATGGCATAATAAAAAAAAAAATAATGCGTACTTATTTGATGTATGGGATTTAAATTTCGAATACATTTTATATGTTATATTGCCATTTGCCATAATAGTTTAGAAGTCTTATATTTTATATGTATACTTAGGCAACTATGGATACTTTTTAAAACCAAAAAATAATAATGAAAACCATTATAAAAGGAGGGAAATATAAAACAATTAAAGGAAAAATAATTTACGGGCGATCTGGGGTTGGGAAGGGTAGGTATTTAAGGTTAAAAAATGGTTTTCCCTGATTTCTGGCTAAACTAAGTCCTTTGAAAAAGTTATGTTTCAAAGTTGTAGGTAATAAAAAGGTCCAAAGCTTTTGTATTTACACTTTTTTCACATAACTTCAAAATTAATATGAAAAATTCAAAAAACCAAGTTTTTTATTTATCAGTAATTACTAAAATATATAGGTATATCTATTCCACTTTTTATATAAAAAAATATGTTCTCAAACGTTACTAGCTTCTGTTGGATAACTATTTATTTGATTTTCATGAAATATATTATTTAAAAAACAATATTTACATTTTACACTTAATCCATTTGATATCAGTTCGGGTTTATGAGTATTTTATACTTAAAGATTAAAGAACATTTAAAAATAAATTTAATA